TGGCTGCAACGTGCAGCAGGACAGCAGCGGCTCGACGGCAGCACCTGCAGGCCCCAGCAGCAGTCAACAGAAACAAGGGCAGGTGGAGGCAGGGGCGGCAGCAGGAGGTGCCACGGTAGCAGCGGGTGGCAGCTGCAATTTCCTGACTGACTTCCGCCACCCTCTCTTACCCTCCCCCCCACAGCAGCACGAGCGGCAGTGAGAGAGAGAGGAGGGGCGGCTGCTGGCTTTGCAGAATCTCTCTCGCCACCCCCTCACACTCCCCCCGCCCCCTTTCACTGGCGTACGAGCAGCACGTGCGGGGCAGGGGAGCGGCGCATTTGTGCGCGGCCATACGCGGCTGCGTGCGGCTGTGCGCAGCTTCACGTGCCCGTACATAGCTTCGCGCAGCTGCGCGTGGCTGTGGCAGCTCGTAACGGGGCGGGTAGCGCGGGGCGGGTGACAGGGCGAAGAAACAACGGGGCGACCCGAGCCGCCCAGCTCGTCGCCATGACAGCAGGGTCGACGATGCAGTGCGACGAGCAGGAGACGGGCAGGTTACGGGCAGCAGCAGACAGCTCGCCGTCGCGCCCGTCACGTCAGTCGCAACTAAGGGCACGACGGGCGCCACAAAACGAGAAATGCGCGGTGGGCCCATTGAGAATGAAAAGGTTAGGTCTTAGGACGACCTAGCTCTTAATACCATGTTAAGATTAGGAGCATAGTAGCTTAGGGTTTGAACTAGGTGAGGGTGACGAGAGGAAATAGCAAGCCAAAAGAGAGGGGGCTTCACTAATGAGAATAGCAAGTACAAATAGGTAAACAGCAACACAAAGAGGTGCACCACCAAACATGATGAAATATCTACACTACAACTGCAAACGATTATATAAAATATGTAAACATATTTTGACACTGGGAGGCTGGACGCCGCTCTGGAGGTCTGCTCGGCGTCCTGGGCGTCTGGACGCCGACCTGGGGGTTTGGAAGGCGTCCTGGGCGCCTGGATGGCGGACTGGGGACGCCGGGCATTGGTGGCCGGCTGCGGACTGTACTGGTTGACCGGGCGTGGTTGCCCGGTCGACCGGGATACCCGGGCGACGTGCGCGAGTGTCGCCAGGGTGGAGTGTGCGAGGCCGACCTCGGGGGTGGTATCCTGAGGTCGACGTGGCTGGTGGGCGCAGTCGCTGGCGTGGAGTCTGCCAGGCGTCTGCGCTGTGCACGTGACAAGGAAGTGCGCACCAACCAGCTGCGCGCACCTGCGAAGCAGGTGCACCGTTGTCCTGCGAGTGCAACGCTAAGCAGCCGACTTGCTGCAGTGTTGGCACCCCGTGGACTGCAACGTTGGCGAACCGCTACTCTGCAACGCTGGAGCGGTGCGAGCGCTGCTGCGCTGGAGCGCGGTCGACCGTGCTGCGCTGGAGGTCGACCAGCAGCCTAGCTAGCTCTGATGTAGTCAATGCTGCCAATGTTGTTGCAATCATTATTGTCATGTTTTCCTTGTGAAACTCTTGCCAATTCTCCCCGTGAACTAGCAAGCAGCGTGAACACAAGGAAACGACTAAGTGAACGAACACAGAGATCACACGAGCACCCGTGCCTAGCCCGTAGTCTAGCTCCCGTTGCAGCAGTTATCTGCGCACCGATCCCACGAGCGGACGACCTGTTGGACCAGCTTCGCGGGGCTCGCTTCTTCTCGAAAATTGATTTGCGAGGTGGCTACCACCAAATTCGTGTGTTCGCCAACGACTGCCCGAAGACCGCATTCTGCACCCGCTACGGCAGTTACGAGTACACTGTGATGCCGTTCGGGTTGACGAACGCACCCTCGACTTTCCAGCTCACCATGAATGGGGTGTTTCGGGACATGCTGGACAAGAAGGTCATTGTTTACCTGGACGACATCCTGGTGTACAGCAAGACTCGGGAGCAGCATTTACAGGACTTAGAAGAGGTGTTCCGACGCTTGCAGCAGAACCGGCTAATTACGAAGGGCTCTAAGTGTGACTTCTTACGGTCGGAGCTGGATTTTCTAGGGCACGTGGTCTCAGTGGAGGGCATTAAAATTGACCCTCGTAAAGTAAAAGCGATTTCGGAGTGGAAGCCGCCCGCAAACATCACTGAGTTGCAGAGTTTCCTCAGCTTCGTTAACTACGTCCGCCGTTTTGTACCCAATATGGTGGGGGTAACCAGGCCATTAACCGATCTTCTGCATAAGGGCGTGCATTTTGGTTGGGGGAAGAGAGAATAGCTGGCCTTCGACAAGCTGAAGAAAATTTTGAGTTCACCCCCGGTGCTTCGGCTGGCAGATCCATCTCGGCCGTTCGAAGTCGTGACGGACGCCAGCGATTTCGCCGTAGGCGCCGTGCTACTACAGGACTTCGGCAATGGGCTGCAACCCATCGCATACGAGTCAAGAAAAATGCAGCCGCCCGAGCGCAACTACCCGGTTCACGACAAAGAAATGCTCGCCATCGTGCATGCGTTTCGTACCTAGCGCTGCTACCTCACGGGAGCTGACGTCACCATCCGAACTGACCACAAGTCATTACAGTACATGCGCAGCCAACCACAGCTCAACCCACGACAAATCCGGTGGCTCGATTACCTCGAGTCCAACTTCAGCTACACCATCACATATAAAAAGGGCGCCAACAACATCGCCGACGCCCTGACCCGCCCATCGATGCAGACCGCAACAATACTAATCGCCCATTCTAACCCTTTATTGGCAGGATTATTCACGCACGGCTACAGGATTGACAGATTTTTCAGGACCAATCAACACCACGGGGTCACTACAACGCATGGGAGTTACTACCTAAAAGTCGGTACTAACCGAGTTTGGGTACCTTCCTACCGACCCTCACGAGAATTACTGACGCAAAAAGTACACGACTCCAACCTCTCCGGGCATTTCGGCGTCGACAAAACGTTGAAGCTACTGCAACGGAATTATTACTGGCCCGACATGGCGTCGGACGTGCAGCACTACGTGTCCGCCTGCCCGACCTGCCAGGCAATGAAATCATCACGACAACGCCCAGCTGGATTACTGCAGCCCCTCGAGCCACCCGAACGACCGTGGCAACAAGTGACAATGGATTTCGTCACGGAACTACCAGCTGGCGCAAGTGGCAACAACTCCGTGCTCGTCGTCGTCGATCGCTTAACGAAAATGGCGCATTTCGCACCATGCCGTACGACGATCACAGCCGAAGAAACAGCAAAACTCTTCATCTCGACCGTCGTGCGCCTACACGGGTTACATTCGGCGATCGTCAGCGATCAAGATCCGAGATTCACGTCGAAGTTCTGGCAGGAGACATGGGCACAGTACGGTACCCGCCTGCAGTTTTCGTCATCCTACCACCCGCAAACTGACGGACAGACAGAGAGGACAAACTAGACGATGGAGCAGTTGATTCGCACGAACTGCCCCGACATCACCAAGTGGGAGGATTCCCTTCCCATGCTTGAGTTTGCGTACAATAACGCCCCATCTGCAACGACCAAGCAGTCACCGTTCTGCCTGAATTACGGGATAGATCCGGTTGTACCCTCGTCAACGACTCCCGACAACCCGGTACCAAGGTCGCAGCAGTTTGTTTCGGAACTACAAGCAGCGCGCGACAAAGCAGCGGAATTTATCAGGAAGGCTAATACGGCCGCCAGCCGCTACGCCGACCAACATCGACGGAATTTACCCTTTCGTGACGGGCAGATGGTCCTGCTGGACACGAAAAACCTCAAGCTGTCCCAACCTGCAAAACTGCGTCCCCACTACGTGGGACCTTTCCGCATCATTCGGATGCTGACACCGATCACTGCGAAACTTCTACTACCGGACGACTGGAAAATCCACGACGCTTTCCACGTCAGTTTACTTCGCCACTACGTGGCACCGGAGTCATCCGACGTCGCTCGACCCCACCAGGCACCAAGTGTCCGACCTGTGGCAGATCCGACGCTTCAACCTTGGAAGATATTGAATCATCGCATTCGTGCGACCCCCGCTGCACGCCACGTCGACTTCCTACTACGCTGGGTGGATCGCACAAGTGAAGATGACACGTGGGTCCCGGACGACTCACTACAAGGGCACTCGGTACTTCGGCAGTATCTTTCTCGCCGACATGTGCTTGATATTGACCACCTTTCTTGAGGGGGGGGTGGTGTGAGGAATTTCGCTAATTCCTTACTGAGGCATCTCTTACGCGTACAATTCCAACTTTCGGAATTCAGGCTCGGTCCGTCGACCTCGCCTCCCGGACGTCTCCCGCGTCGCCTTCAGGTTTCCCAACCCCAAACCTACACCCAACCTTCGCGCGACTCCGGGACCTCGGCCTAGCTAGCTGTGCTATATTATGCCTAGGCCTCGTTTGCTCAGTAGTTGTAATCACTTCCGCGATATTGCATTCTGCACTCTTTTTTCATACAACTCATAAGAGGGAGAATCTCAAGGGGAGAAGCAGAACAGCAACAGCAACAGCAGCAGCAGCAGCAGCGACAGCAGGAGCAGTGGCCACAGAAACAGCAGCAGCAGCACCCATGCCAAACAGATTACCAAACAGGTCATCAACATGACGAACGAAACCCTAGCTTTTTCCAGACGTGCGCCCAGCCCAGATTCTTGGAGGCCCTCGACTCTAGTCCTCCGCCCTCCACAGTGTACTGTGGTAACTTCACTCACATGCTCACCCGCCAGATTGTTACCACAACGCGAATGACGCCAACTCCATAGCAATTATTCATTAGGGTATAACTTGAATCTGGAAGCTAAGCCACGCTGTCCGCCTGTTTCTCCGTTCATCCGTTAGTTCCCGTGCCCGTAGAAACCTTTTTTCGCAGGCACGCATACGCGCTTGATGCTTGAGTATATTCAGGCTCTGCGTTCAGACTAGGCCAACTAAGTTTGAAGCATGTTGACTTAATCCGCTTACCTTCTCTAGTTCCCGCACTAGACACCCGCTTCTTCCCGCTCTCGTCCGCGCCCCCCTCCTCGCGCTCCTCCGCGCGCCATGTGCATGGATACCCTCACACACAAGTCCTCTTCACCCGTGCAATCCCTCACCACCCGCCGAATCCTCGTCAGAAAACGACGCCAGAGCCAACCAGCACCGCCGACGGCAGCCGCGGCCGTACCAGCCGCCGCTACCGCCGGTGCAAGCGGCTCTGCAGACGCGGCAGTCCCCGCTGCTGTTTCCGCCGCGCGCCTTGCAGCAGACGATTCCGCGCAGCCATCGCCTGCAGGGCTCCTGGGGGCGCGGGAAGAGGATGGCGCGGCGTGGGACGTGGCGGCGGGGGCGGAGCGGAGAGAGCGCAGCGCGGCGGAACAGCAGTCGGAGCTGTGCCAGTCGCGTGGAAAGAGTGGCGGAAGGAGCGGTGATTGGAGGGCGGGCGCTGTTCGGCAAGACGCGGGGCCGGCGCGGGTTTCGCGAGGCGAGAACGAGGGCGCGGGGCGGAAGCGAAAGAGGTCAGTGCGCTGAATCACCTTTTCTTGATTCTACTCTCGTTGAAACACCTTATCCTGAATAAGCTTTCGCTCATTCCCTTCATCTGTCCAGCACCACATGCCTATGCACTCCCCACTTCTTTATCCTTCCGTTTCCGTCCCCGTCCTCTCCCCTTGTTCCCGGTTCTCGCAGTGTATACCAGTCGAATCCGACTTCAGCGGCTGTCTGGGATGACTCAGCGTGTCTGACGTCAGCAACTCCACCACCACCACCGCCGCCACCACCAGCAGCAACAACGTTTTTTCCGCCGGCCGCTCTTGCATGCCCTCCGCACCCGTTCCCCCCTCACCGCTCCCCCCTTCACCGCTACTCCCGCCACCCCTCCCCGCTCCACGAACCGCCCTCCGCTCCGCGTGCGTGCGCGGCCTGTGCCCCCGCCACTGCCGCTTTCCGCACACTCGCCGCCCCATCCGCGCTTCCCTGCGCGTCCCTCTCGTTACACTCACCTCCGCAAGGCTCCCCCGAGCCCCCTTCAGTTCCCCCGAACCGCCGCGCGGACGCATCCTTCTCGTCCGCGGACTTGGCACCGCCGCAGCGCCCTGGAGCCCTTCCCTGTGTTCCCGCTCTTCTTCCGCCTCCTCTTGCGCCACCACTGGCGCCGGTTCCGCCGTCCGCGGGAGGCATGTTTGAGAACCAGCGCATATCGCCCCTGGCGCACCACATAGCGCAGCAAGTTCCGCAGTCCTTCCCCCAGACCCCCTTCCGCAGATCCCCCACCCTCCCCTCGTCCTGGGATCTTCCCCCTTTCTCCAAGCGCCAGCGCGTGGCGGTGGCTTGGGGGGGAGGAGCGGGGGGCGCGGAAGTTGAGAAAGGGAGAGCGCAGGGGAAGTGCGGTTCCGCGGGGGAAGGGCATGCGGGAGGCATGTGCGGGGAAGACGAGGCGGAGAGGGAGGGAGAGGATGGGAGTGCTTTGGGGGGACAGAAAGGAGGCACGTGGGGAGATTGTGATTTGGGGGAAGAGAGGGAAGGGGAAGTGGGAGCGGGGAGGGAGGTGGAAAGGGGAGGGCGAGGGGAGCGGGAAGGAGAGGAGGAGGAGGAGCAGAATGAGCGTTGGATGGATGAGGTCAAAGCTCCCTTGCTCGTGGCTTCCAATGCTTCTTATGCCGCTGCAGCAGCACCAATAACAACAGCAGCAGCAGCAGCAGCAGCAGCACCAATGGCGGCAGCGCCAGTGGCAGTAGCAAATTCTCTTGAGGTTGTTGTGAGAGTGCCAAGAGGTATGGCTGGCAGCAGACGCGGCTTCTATAGTCGCTGCAGCAGCAGCGGTAGCAGCAGGCGAATCAGCAGTGCCGTAGGCAGCTCTGGCAGCGGCGAGGGTGGTGGCAAGAAAGCAAGTCAATTGCTTACAGATGGCGCCTCAGTTGCAACAGCAATGGCGACAGTAGGCCCTGCAGCAGCAGCAGCAGCAGCAGCAGCAGCAGCAGCAGCAGCAGCAGCAGCAGCAACAACTGAAGCAGGAGAAAGAGGAGGAGCAGCAGCAGCGTTGGTGGAACGAGCAGCGACAGCAGGGGTTGAAAGCACGTGTGGGTCATGTTGTGCCTGGTCAGGCCCCGCTTGCACAGGCCGCTGCGGCGCTGGCGGTGGCAATGGCAATGGAAGTGGCAGTTGCAGTTGCAGAAGGGGCTTTGAGAAACGGTCAGGTTGCGATATAGAATCGCGGAGAGGGGAGAATAGCATCGTTGGACATGTAACTAGCAGAGAAGGGCATGCAGGAGAAGGGGCTGGGGGGGACGTAGGTAGGTCCGATCCTGCAGCAGCAGGGGGAGCAGCAGCAGCAGCTGCTGCAGCAGGTGAAGCAGACGTGAGGGGTAGTGCGGGTAAGGCACAGTTTCCATCTGATTTCCTCTTTCTGCCTCGCCGTGGCGCCTCACCCCCCCATCGGGCTACCATAGCTGCTGCGGCTGCGGCAGCGGCAGCGGCAGCAGCAGCAGCAGCAGCAGCATCTGGTCGTGTGGAGAGTGTTGGTGGGTGCATGAGCAAGGGCGGATGTGTGGGTGTGAGTGCACGCGATGCCTCAGCTGCAGCAGCTCTTGAATGTGATGACTCCCTGTCGAGGGGCGAGCAGAAGAGGCATGAGCGAGGGGGTGATGAGGGTAGCTCCTGTCCGGTTATGGCTTTGACAGGAGGAGGGAGAGATGGAGGAGGAGGAGAGTGGGGTGGAGGAGGGAGGGGAGACGCGGATGGAGCAGAGCAGCGGTCAACAGGCAAGCGAGTGAAGAGGAGAGAGATGGGAAGGATGCTGTTCACGCAGGAGGAGCACGAGGTGCAGGTGCAAGATCAACATGGCAGCCAGCAGCCTCAACATGCACGTGTGAAATGCAGAAATTACTTTGCACGCTGGGAGCACCTTATTGGAGGAGTGGAGGAGGAGGAGGACGAGGAAGAGGAGGAGGAGGAGGGTGGGGATGATGACAAGTCCATGGGTGACCCTCAGGAATCTCCCAAATTTGTTCTCTCTTCAGGGCGATCTCTCTCCTCAGGCAAGCCCGCCTCTGTTTTGTTTCTCTGATTGATTTTGTTTATGAGAGAGAGAGAGAGAGAGAGCTTTTAGCTATTTCCTCCACCTCTTCTCCCTCCAGCTTTCTTCCTCCACCTCTCCTCCCTCCAACTTTCCTCCTCCATCCTCCATCACTCCTCCGTCCGCTACACTTCCCTCTCCATCTCTCACTGATCCACACTCTCCTCGTCCTGTCGTGCAGATTGCTTGATCAGAGCAGGCAAGCCCTTGACCATTGATGGCGAGTTTGAGCAATTCTTCTCCCAGCTCCTCCTATGACCACCACTGTGCCATATCATGCTGAGGCCTCCAATTTAGTCGGTGTGCTTGTGTGTTTTTGTTCCTCTACAATGTGTGAACCATGTATAGCCGTGATATACCCGTGATGTGGTGTGGTGTAGTGTGCACTGTGTGCTTTGATAATCTACAATGAGGGTGTTTTGTTCATATTTTGTCTCATACATAGTTTTGAGAGAGTCTCATTCTTGATAGTGTAAGCTCCCTAGAAGTGAAGATGCAAGAAATGATTTTTTTTGAAAGTGTGAAACACTTTCTAAAAATGTATATTTTGAAAGCGCAGCTGACTGTAGTGAAGCAAGGCAACTGCAAATGCATATTCCGTCATTTGGCCTCCACCCACGTCTTCATTTCGGAACTTTACAGTTCCGCTTCCCCCCCCACCCGCCCCTAGTTGATCTTTATGTAATGTTTTAGTTGGACGAGAATGATGTAATCACCCAATTGAAATGAAGCACGTTGCCTTGCAAGTAACAGAAAGCAAGCTTTCTCAATGACTTTATTTTCCTACGGTAATCCTAAGCTGTCCTACACCGGTATCCCAGCATGCTTGTACAAGCAAACGGGCCGAAGTGGAAGCGGCACCGTGAGCTATGCAACGCACACCAAATCACCCCCCCAGCACAACCCTTTTCTTCTCCTACCGTAGCTATCACCCCCCTGCCCCTCCTGAAAGCTGTGCTAGCAAGTGAAAGACCCTAGAAATAATTAGTATCGACAGTAAGGAGGGAGAGCAAGCACGACCTTCAGAGTTACGCCACCTCAGCATCGTATTCACCCGCGTCTTCCTCGTCCGCGCTCGCCTCCTGGTACTGCTGGTACTCACTCACTAGATCGTTCATGTTGCTCTCCGCTTCCGTGAATTCCATTTCGTCCATGCCCTCGCCCGTGTACCAATGAAGGAAGGCCTTTCGCCGGAACATCGCCGTGAACTGCTCGCTCACGCGCTTGAACATCTCCTGGATGCTCGTGCTGTTTCCGACGAACGTCGACGACATGGAAAGGCCGCGCGGCGGCACGTCGCAGACGGACGATTTCACGTTGTGCGGGATCCACTCGACGAAATACGACGAGTTTTTATTCTGCACGTTTAAGAGCTGCTCGTCTACCTCCTTAGTGCTCATCTTCCCGCGGAACATCGCGGACGCCGTTAAGTAGCGCCCGTGGCGCGGGTCCGCGGCGCACATCATGTTCTTCGCGTCCCACATCTGCTGCGTGAGCTCGGGAACCGTCAGCGCGCGGTACTGCTGCGAGCCGCGCGACGTGAGCGGCGCGAAGCCGACCATGAAGAAGTGGAGGCGCGGGAAGGGGATGAGGTTAACGGCTAGCTTGCGCAGGTCCGAGTTGAGCTGCCCGGGGAAGCGCAGGCAGCACGTGATTCCGCTCATCGTTGCGGAGATGAGGTGGTTGAGATCGCCGACTGTAGCGGGGCAGGGGGAAGGGGAACGGGGTAGGGAAAGGGGAAGGGAAAGGAGGTGTGCGAAACGGAGGAAATGGGAGAGAGTACGGTAAGGTTTGGTTGAGACGGGAAGGGACGGGACGGGACCTAGACACGATATGGGGGTACGAAATTTCGAAGGTTGTGGCGGGAGGGGAAGGTGGGAGAGGGGGGAGCGAGAAGGAGGGGATGAGACGGAGGGAACACAAGTGGCGCGAAGCAACACGATGCGCACTCACAGCTGGGATTGGCGAGCTTGAGCGTGCGGAAGCAGATGTCGTAGAGCGCCTCGTTATCGAGCACCATGCACTCGTCCGCGTTCTCGACCAGCTGGTGCACCGATAGCGTCGCGTTGTACGGCTCGACGACCGTGTCCGACACCTTGGGCGACGGGAAGACGGAAAACGTCAGCATCATGCGATCCGGGTACTCCTCGCGAATTTTGGCGATCAACAGCGTGCCCATCCCCGACCCCGTGCCGCCGCCTAGTGAATGGCAGACCTGGAAACCTGGAGGCGAGAAGGGGAGAAGCGGGATGAGGGTTGGAGTGGGAAGGGGAGCGGGGGCGGGGAAAAAGATAAAGCGCCGTGCGAGCGGGAAACATGAGGTAAGGGGGGCGGGGGCGCGGTGGTGGGGGGGGGGGGGGAACAATTGAGGGTGCAAAGCGGATTGTTGAAGTGTGACGCAATAGAATTGCACCGCTTCGCGGCAAGGAGCCAGCGCGCTCTCACCTTGCAGACAGTCGCTGTTCTCCGCCTCCTTGCGCACGACGTCCATGACCGAGTCAATTAACTCCGCGCCCTCCGTGTAGTGCCCCTTGGCCCAGTTGTTCCCCGCGCCTGTCTGCCCGAACACGAAATTATCCGGCCGGAAAATCTTGCCGTACGGCCCTGCTCGCACGCTGTCGAGCACCCCAGGCTCCAGGTCCTGCGGAGGAGACGGCGAGGAAGGGGGGGTGTCGTAAGGCGGATACGGAAAGGTGAGTAGGGAGGGACGAAAGGGGAGAGAGAAAGAGGGAAGATAACAACGGGTGCACGGATGAGAGATGCTAAAGGATTTTTACGGCGTCAGGATTGCCGCGTCAGTTTAACACACGCAGCGGGTGAGACTGAAAGTCCGACATAAATTGGAAGATTAATAGAACACGTGACAATAGTGACTAGACACGACGGAACGCACCAATAGCACGGCGCGGGGAACATAGCGGCCGTTGCTGGCTTCGTTATAGTAGACATTCACACGCTCCAGCTGCAGCGGCGAGTCGCCCTTGTAGATTCCTCCGGCGTCCACGCCATGCTCGTCGCACACCACTTCCCAGAACTTGGCACCGATCTGGTTGCCGCACTGCCCTCCTTGGATGTGAAGAATCTCTCGCATCGTGCGGAGTCGCGCTGGTTATAAAGGGCTCAAAAGGCGCAACGGCTGAATTGTGGAAGAAAAAGCTGGAAGTGATTTTGGATAGGAGTTAGTATCGCTGTAAGCCCGATAGATGTTTCCAGTATTGGTGTGATTGAGCAGGAGTTAACGCTTAAAAAAGGTATTGACTGAATGGCAGTGAGTTTATACGCCAGTTGATTTTGAATTCCACTTGAGGTTGGGCAGGCCCAGGGAGTCAAGAATTTGGTGTCCGTGCAGCTTGTTTGCCAAAAAAGCGGGAGTTCGTGCGAAGCGGGGTCAACCAGTTTGCCAGAGCAGCATGGAAATCGCGCGATTTTGATAGTATTCGCCAGGTCCTGACGCTCCCATACCCTGTTTTCGTGACGGGCCAAGCACAACCGTCGCGACTTTCGTCATGAGCAGTGTGTCTTCGCGTAAAGTGCAGGGGGAAAGAATCAGGTGCGACTCGACGGGGTGATGGTTTGGGATGTGACGTGAGCCGAACCTGCACACCATCAACTGATGGTGGAGCTCATCGCAAAAAATATGGCTCACGATGGCAGTTGAATGCACCAACCAGCTTCTACGACGAACGTACAGTCCACCCAGCTTTGCTTCTCTTCGAACCGCGCTGCTTGTTTCCGCTCCCGCCAAAATCCGTGCTGGAAGGGGGGAACACTGACAGACAATGCCCGAGCGAAGGCATGCCAGTCTGAGAGTTGCCACGTGTGTTCAGAGAAACACGAGGGATGAAGTTGCGCAATAAGCTGCATTTTTTTTTTAGATGGAAGTGGGAATTGACCAATGTTTAAGATCTGGGACACTGTATCTCCAGAGTTTCTCTGCACATGTTCTCCCACTTGAAAAAATAAACAAAATAATGTGAGAAAAAATCGGGCAAGAAATGAAATGGAAAGAAGGGAGAGAGATGAAAATATCTGAGCGACGCAATCTCTTGCTTCAGCCACGAAGACTCGATGCAAACTACTTTTGATGCTTGTAATGGGTTCGAATTAAGGCACTTCGATGATCGCCAATTGAAATTATGAAAGTGTTAAAGATAAACAATTCATTGAAACATTTGTGAAGAAAAACGCTCCGGATGTTCGAAAAGGATCGGGATGTAGAAGCACCTGCCAGAATAACGTGATGCATTCAGTCGTGTTTTTATGAGATGATCATCATAGATTTCATTACACAAGAAGACGCCCAATGCCCTCACAGAATCTTCTCATGCTTGCCGTGCTCTAGCCGTTTCTGTTCATGAAGTGTAATTATGAGACTACAGTAATAGGTGCGACTGCTACAGCTGCATTTCCACAGTTCATTACCTTAAAAAGCCAACGACATACCTACAGTGCAACATCACATCCTGCTGACTATAGTCTACATTGCCTTTGCATAACCCCCCCCAGAAGGTAACATAACACCTCATTCATATCAACTCATCTCCGTTCCTCTCCTCACCCGCATCACCCACCTCCACCTTTTAACACCAACCCTCCCAGTTCCCCTCCCACTCCCTCCCCTCCACCCCTGCCAGCCACACCTGAAACCCTCCTACTGCACTCAACCCCCAAACCATGGCGCACAGCCCACGGGTCATCAAGCACATCACACACCGCACCTCTACCACTATCCCCAGGGCTCAGCACAAGCAGGCGCAGCAGCAGCAGGCGCAGGCGCAGGCGCAGGCGCAGGCGCAGGCGCAGGCGCAGCAGCAGCAGCAGCAGCAGCAGCAGCAGCAGCAGCAGCAGCAGCAGCAGCAGCAGCAGCAGCAGCAGCAGCAGCAGCAGCAGCAGCAGCAGCAGCAGCAGCAGCAGCAGCAGCAGCAGCAGCAGCAGCAGCAGCAGCAGCATCAGCAGCAGCAGCAGCAGCAGCAGCAGCAGCAGCAGCAGCAGCAGCAGCAGCAGCAGCAGCAGCAGGGCAAGCAGCAGCAGCAGGCAGCAAGCACGCAGCAGCAGCAGCAGCAGCAGGCAGCGCAGGCAGCAGCAGCAGCAGCCGCAGCAGCAGCTAGCAGCAGCAGCAGCAGCAGCAGCAGCTAGCAGCAGCAGCAGCAGCAGCAGCAGCAGCAGCAGCAGCAGCAGCAGCAGCAGCAGCAGCAGCAGCAGCAGCAGCAGCAGCAGCAGCAGCAGCAGCAGCAGCAGCAGCAGCAGCAGCAGCAGCAGCAGCAGCAGCAGCAGCAGCAGCAGCAGCAGCAGCAGCAGCAGCAGCAGCAGCAGCAGCAGCAGCAAGCAGCAGCAGCAGCAGCAGCAGCAGCAGCAGCAGCAGCAGCAGCAGCAGCAGCAGCAGCAGCAGCAGCAGCAGCAGCAGCAGCAGCAGCAGCAGCAGCAGCAGCAGCAGCAGCAGCAGCAGCAGCAGGCGATTAGCATCATGCCCCACATCATTTGAGACGTCTTACAACCCCCACACCATGGCGCAGAAGCCACGGATCATCAAGCACATCGCACGCAGCAGCTCTGTCCCCAGGGCTCAGCACAAGCAGGCGCAGCAGCAGACGCTTGGCATCATTACCCACATCGTGCCATGGGTCCTCCTCTAAATCAACCTCCCCTTGGCTGATCAGCTCTGCTAGCTCGGCGTCAGTTTGTGCAAGGAAGGGCAGCCGGCCGGATAGCAGAGCATATAGGACCACACCCAGACTCCAGGCATCAGCCTTGTGCGGCTGGAACTGGGTTTGCCCCTCACCTGCTGCTGCTGCTGCTGCTGCTGCGTCTGCTCCTCTGCCTGCTGCTGCTGGAGTTATAGCAGAGTGAGGATCTGGTGCTGATGGTGGTGGTGCTTGTGCCCGTGCCCATGCCTGTGCTTGTGCTTGCCCTTTCGCCTGTGGGCTGCCCTTTTTCCAGTGGTACTTTGGTTGCTGTTGCTGCTGCTGCTGCTGTTCCTGTTGCTGCTGCTGCTGCTGCTGCTGCTGTTGCTGCTGCTGACCATGCACAAGCGGCACAGGGGCCCTGGTTATTTCCTCCGGTGCCATGTACGGCTTGCTGCCCTGCCACCTCTCTTTCCCAGCCGCTGACAGAAACACAGCAGACCCAAAATCAGCAAGCCGCACCGACCACCGACCCTGCTTCGTGCCCCACCCACTGCTGCTGCTGCTGCTGCTGTTGCTGCCCCTGCTGCCACTGCTGCTAAAGCCGCTGCAACCAGTGCTGGTGCTGCGGCCACTGCCCATGCTGCCCCACCCACTGTTGCCACTGCTGCTGCTGCTGGAGGGAGCAGAGACCGAGGAAGCAGCGAGATCCAAAGGGGCAGCAGAAGACACACTTTCAGAGGAGGAGAAGGACGAGGAAGAGGAAGAAGAGGAGGAGGAGGAGGGCGGTGCAGGGATGGGAGGAGAGTGTGAGCGCGGATGGAAGTACGGCGAGTGCGAATCAGCAGCACCAGAGAGTACGGGCGTTGTTGAGTGTATGGGCATGGGCATGGGCATGGGCATGGGCATGGGCATGGGCATGGGCGCGGGAAGGTCATTGAAGAACGAAGCATCTGCCGATCCCCATCCCCACATGCTGCTGCGCCCGCTGCCTCGGTGCAAGGAGGAGCCAGCACTGTGGGCGCCACCCGTGGTGCTGCTGGGAGCACCACTCGCAGGCGTAGAGCTACCAGCAAGGGTAGAGCCGGCAGGAGAAGTGTTGATGATTGATCCTCCACCACGGTTACTTGTTCCCCATGCTGCTGCTGCTGTGCCGTGTGGGTTAGCTGCTGGCCTGGGTGGGGTAGCAGGCCGGGCCACCACACCTGCTGCTCCTGCTGTTGCGCCTGCGGATGCTGCTACTCTGCGCATTGCTGGTGATGGCCCTGGTGCTGCTGCTGGTGATGGCGATGGTGATGTTGATGGGGATGGTGATGGGGATGGTGATGGTGACGGTGATGGTGGCGGTGATGGTGATAGTGACGACACTGCTGCCGCCACTCCTGCTCCTGCTGATGGTGATGCTGCTGCTGCTGCTGCTGCCAGCCCATGCGCATGAGTCCCCACACTGCTCCGCACACGCGCTTCCCCTGCCATCTCCCACTCACCGCCACCATGCCCCGACTCCCCCCTGTGCCCAACAGCTGCCTCGAGCTCGTTCCAGGCGGAACGGTCAGTGGGAGTAGAGAAGGAGCGTTTTTCCCAGGCTGCTGTGCCGGCCACATTAGCAGCAGCAGCAGCAGCAGTAGCAGCAGCAGGAGGAGCAGCAGCAGCAGCACAGGTGCTGGTGTCGGCAGCAGTGGCAGGAGAGGTTACAGCGAGAGTATCATCACCAGCAGCGGCAGAGGCACAAGCAGACACAGCGGCAGAAGCAGCAGCAGAAGCAGTAGAAGCAGCAGCAGCAGCACAGTCAGGGGAAGCACCGGAAGAAGCACGTTTGCCGCCCACCTCTGCGTCACAGCCCATCGCCCGTTCTCCTCTCCCCTCTCCTTCCCCTCCTCCACCTCCATCCCTTCCTCCTCGTCCTCTCCCATCCCCCCGTCCTCCACCTCCTTCCCCTCCTCCCGAGGCAAGAGGAGAAGCGGCAGCAAACATGGAGAACTCAGCAGGGCACCGGGCAACCAGCACATTCTCCAGCTTCACATCCCGGTGCGCCACGCCGTGTGCATGGCAAAACGCGAGCGCCGACGCGAGCTGCGCAAACACCTCCGCCGCATCCCGCTCCGGAAGCGGCCCCTGCGTGGCGATCTTGTGGTGCAGGTCGCCTTCTAGGCAGTACTCGGTGAACACATACGCGGCTGCGCGGTCCTGGTGCGCGCAGTGCAGGTGCACGATGTGTGGGTGGGGTTGCAGCAGGCGGAGGAATTCCACTTCCCGGCGTACTTTTTCACGTAGAACTGTGCTGCTGCCGCCGGTGCTGCTGCTGGTGGCGGTGGTGGGTGCAGGGTTGTTGTTGCTCTGGGTGCTGCAGTTGCCAGTAGTTGTTCTTGACTCCGCAGCAGCAGCAGCAGCACCAGCAGATGAAGGAGTGGAAGCAGCAGCAGCAGCATGATCGGCACTGCTCTCTCCAGTTTCAGCAGCAGGAGCTGTTGCAGCAGCAGCAGCAGCAGCGGCACCCATGCCCCCCTCGCTGTCCCCACTGGCAGTAGCAGACGCGGCACCACTGCCGCCACTGCTGCCCGTAGCAAGCCCAGACGAAATCAGGCGCCGCAACGAACCCCATGCTGCTCCAAACCCCATATTCATGCCCATGCCCATGCTCAGGGCGGAGGGAGGAGCATGTAGTGGTGCTTCTCGCAGAACTTTGACTGCGTAGGTGATGCCTGTGTCCTCCTCCACGCACTCATACACCATTCCGTAGCTCCCCACGCCCACCACGGCTCCCAGGTGAAACCGCTGCATCGCCCCTGCTGCTGCTGCTCCTGCTGGTCCTGCTGCTGCTGCTGCTGCTCCTCCTCCTCCTGTTCCCCCTCCTGCTCCCCACCCTGCAGTTTCCCCTGCTCCCCCTGCTGCTGCACCTGCTGCTGCTACTGCTGCGGCATCAGTTGTGGCTCCATGTGCATGTGCGTGGGTGTGGGTGTGGGTGTGGGTGTGGGTGTGGGTGTGGGTGTGGGTGTGGGTGTGGGGAAGCCCACGCAAGGGACTAGCCCCTATACCACACGCTTCTACAGTAGCATCCCTGCCGCTCATGCACCAGCCACCACCAGCAGCACCACCATCAGCAGCAGCAGGAGCAGCAGCAGCAGCCGATGGTGACAGCGGGGGTGGTGATGGTCGCACGAGGCGGGAGGGGACACAGATGACGCGGCGGGTGACGCCAGGGAGGGACCGCTGCCTCACCAGCTTCGGCTCTGCTGCCATTCTGCTGCTGCTGGGCCACGGCAGACCCAACCCCCTGCGCACTGACACAGGCACTGACACTGACGATATCACTCTCAGCAGCCGCCGCCCTGCGTTTGCAGCTGCTGTTGACGCTGTTGATGATGCTGCTGCTGATGCTGCTGTCCCTGCACCTGCTTCTGCTCCTCCTGCTCTTCCTCCTGCTCCTCCTCCTGCTCCTTCCCCTCCCCTTTCTTCCCCTCCTGCTGCCAATCCTGTGCCAGAACTGCTGCTGCTTCTTCTGAAGTTCATGCCGCTGCTGCCGCCACCGCCGCCGCCGCAGCTGCTGCTACCACTGCCGCCACAGATGCTGCTGCTGCTGCTGCGGCTAATGGGGGTCTCAACTGGGTAGTTGTTGTTGCCGCTGATGCTCTTGCTCTTGAACATGCTCCTGACGCTGCTGCCAGAGACGGAGCCACCGACAATGCTAAACCTTCTGCTGCTACTGCTGCTGCTGCCGCCACTGCTGCTGCTGCTGCTCCCACAGACTTCATTACTTGTGTGACTGTTGTTGATGTTGTTGCTGCTGCTGCTGCTGCTGCTACCAATGCTGTGACTGCCCGGGACTCGGGAGCTGCTCTGCTTTCGCCCAGCTTCCTTGCTGCTGCTGAAGGGGCTGCTACTAAAGGGGCTGCTACTAAAGGGGCTGCCACTAAAGGGGCTGCCACTAAAGGGGCTGCAGCTGCTGCTGCCGCCGCTGCTAATGGTGTGGGTCGTGGTGGGAGTGGTAGTGGCAGCTGTGTTGACAATGCTGCTGCTTCCTGCACCCCCACCACCACCTTTCAAGAACCCTAGATTTTGTCCTAAGCCATGTGTCCGCAACCGTCCCCTGGTACCCCCCCCAACTGCATTGGCGCCATGCATTTTCCCCCCATCGCCACCACTCTCCGCCTCCCCGCCTCCCCCATCCCCCGCCGTTCCGCCTTCTACCCCCACCACCTCGCTATTGTTGCTGCTGCTGCGGGGGAACAACCTCCGCTTTTGTGCGCACGTGGCGGAAACGCCCCCCCCGCTTCTGTCCCCGCCTCCGCTTCCGCCGTTTCCCCCGTCTCCTCCGCTCCTTCCCCGGTCACTCGGGGATGCCTCGTGCGACGCGAGCGACCACGAGCGGAGGTGGTGGTGGTGGTGGTAGTGGTGGCTCTGCCCGCAAATCACGGCGGCCATTCGCTCCTGCGCCACGCTGGAGCTGGGCGGGGGGAATGTGAGCGCAGGGGCCGGCGGAACGGGCTCCATCATCGGCGGGAAAGATGAAACGGGCGGAGCAGATGACACGGGCGGGGCAGATGAAACGGGCGGAGACGTTGACACGGGCACGGCTGTGTTCGAAACGGAGGAGGAGAGGGAGAGCGGGATGAGATCAGGAGAGGGTTGTCCCATGGGGAAGGAGCAGTTGCGCTTGAGAGGTGGTTGAGAGGTAGTAGTGTCGGGTGTTGACAGTGCGGTGCCTCCGCTGTCCTCCCCTCCTCGCCTCAGTTGCTGTTGATGCTGCAATCCTCGTTTCTGCTTCTGCTGCTGCAGTAGCTGTTCCAGTCATTGCTGCTGCCATCACTTCCGCTGTTGCTGGAAAGCCTTTTCCCGAGGGGAGTTCGCATGGCTGCGTGCAATCCACGCTAAAGCAGCCCCGTTTCTATGCAGACATGCTTTTTTTTAGGCGCCTCAAAAGACGACGAAGCTGTCCCGTTTTTTGCGAGTATGCCGGTTACAGTGCGACGGGTGCTAATAGCGGGTACGCCATTAGCACCAACAAGTCATTCTCACTCCTCGTGGCTAATAGCGTGTACGCTCGTTAAGCGAACCGACGGACTGCATTGCGCTGAAAGTGGTTGGAAGTGCTCGCCGCCTTGTTGGCGAATCACGGTGCACGAAAGGGGATCTTTGAGACTCTGTAAGGTGACAACTCAGTAATCATGCTCGGTGGCTTTGGCAGTGATTGCAAGGTGTTCGGACGTTAGGAAAAATCAGGTGGCGGTACGGAGGGTGGGAATGGAAACACACGCGACAGGGATCAGAAATGCGTGAGAGAGCGGGATGAAAGGAAAGTTGTGGCTCTCGGAGGGATGTGAATGGCGCAGAGGGAGCGGGTAATGACGTGTCGCGAAACGCGACGGTGGGAGCCAATAGATGCTGGCAGACAGAAACACGAGATCGATCGAAGGGATGCGATGCGGTGGATCATGTCATGTCTATGATGCGGTGTGCGGTGTGGTGCAATAGATAGCGTGCGCGCGATGCAGCTGCTGGCTGCGCGCGCATTGGGTTCAAGAAGGCAGACCCCTCAACGCGACGACACGTAGAGCAACGAAAAGCTGAGCGTGGAAGGTGGTAGTTGGTAATGCTAGCTTACGATGAAAGCCGAGTTGCTAGGTGGTGTAAGAAACAACTCGAGACAAGCTCAGCATTCTCCCAGCAATGCAGACAAGGTCATGGAAGTGGGAGTGGCAAGGGCAGCGATAATGGTGGTGGCGGTAGTGGGTGGATTACAAGTCGGTTATAGTAGTTTCAAAAGGAAGTAAGTGGGATGGGAAGGATTCACACACATACCATTCCAGACCCATGGATGTGGCAAAGAGACAAACTACTGTACCATATGGTACATGCTATACATGATCAAACGTGCCGTACTGTATCGTACCAAAAACCTCTTTCATGTGAGGCATGAACAGTGTACTTTGTGATGGTTGGTGGTGGGGTGGCTAGGCGAGATGAAAGAGTTTCTGGTTTGGGCTCGTTCCTTGTTTCGAATCTCATTTCAGGTGCACCCAGAGACGGGTCAATCAACCTGCCTCGCGACTAAACTCTCGCCTCCCATGCCTCTCCCCACACTGAGACACACCCACCCTTCACACCACACTCCAACAAAACTTACTAAAATGTCAATCTGAGTCATATGAGCGTCATATTTGAATAGAAAGGAGGATACTTCTGCGAACATACTGGATTTTTGCAAAGGTTGATCCCTTCCCCCGACCCACACCCAGTGATCACTGACGCTCAAATGATCAACCCCCTACTGCCTCCAGTCATGTTTTCTTCGAGGCAGCTCTTCAATTACAATGTACTTATATTTTACAGGGTTGCTGTCTAAAGGTCCCGAAAATCAAGACTAGCGTGGATGCGTGTTCAAACCAGCTGTAACCTACCCAGTCGCACTCCAATTGTTCTGTTCGGAGTAGGAACCCCATTTGGATGAGGTCTTACATATTTCTCGTCTGTTGTCCCATCAGGAAAAACAATTTGAAAATACCTAGCAACAAAAAGTGGGAGTTTAGAGCCTCTTTGGCCTACAGTTCCTCAGGCACCCAACAAAATATGGTTTGGTTGGACACGCCCTCGGAAGGCAACCGGCACAGAACAGCACATGGAGCGGGGTATAAATACATCTGATCAATCTGGCAGGTATGACTGACCAGCAGGCAAAGAAAAATCGTCGGTCGCAGCGAAACGCGTCGACCAAGACCCATACCCGACCAACCGCTACTACAAGTTTCCGCGAATCGTCTTCCGCAAAAGATGAACGCTTGACCCGTGCTTATCCTCCCTCGCCGGCCTCTTGAATTCTCGAAGGGGCCGGGCTCGGGGAGGAAGGTTGGGGATCCGCTCCTTCTGCCATGCCGCTCGTCTCAGGTAGCGCAGAAGGCTGGCCTTACGTGTGCGCTCGTCATGTTAGTCTGCCCCCTTGCGAGTCGCGTGCGCGTGTTTTAGGGCGTCCTCGAATCGTTATCTCTTCCCAGCTTCTCCCCCGAGACTGTACTGCCTTATACCGCGTCGAACAAAGCAGTGGTGTCGTTTCTAGCTGCGGTATCCCGATCCGTCGTCATCTTTCATAATCCGCTCGCCGTCGCAAGCTTTTAAATGTGCAGCTTGACTAAATTCAATCCACTCGCCACCTCCGAGCAAAACCCCACTTCTAATCCCTTCTCCCATTCCCCCAATGACCCACTTTTGTGTCGTACCCGGTCTGCCCTTTCCACTCCTGCCTGAATTTCACCTGCCCGTTCCCGCATGCACGGAATCCCGTCAGAGGATCTGAGTCTGCTGGTGCTCGTGGTGGACGTCAATTCCTTCTACTGGGCGCTGCGTTTCAAGAAGTCTCAAAACCTCATTACCACCCCGCTCATTCCCTTATGCGTGCGATCCCATCCCGTCAGAGGATCTGAGTCTGCTGGTGCTCGTGGTGGACGTCAATCCCTTCTTCTGGGCGCTGCGCCCGCCCTCCCTCCCCACCTTCCATGACTTTCTCTCGCAGGTACGCTCTCCACTCGCCCTCTATGCCCCTCTCTGCCCCTCTCCGCCGTTTTCAATCCTCTCTCCCCCTCTGTTGTCCCCTTCTCTCCTTCTCCTTGTCAGCAGCTTTCGCTCTGAAGTCATTCTTACTCATTTGGATTCGCTCCTGTCTTCCACCAAGTTGACTTTTGAGTCGACTCAAAAAGTCACCTTCTCACTCATTTGGGTTCGCTCCTGTGTTCCACCAAGTTCCCACGCCCCTCCCCGCTGTTCCGCTTGTTGTTCTATAATACACCCTGTGCCGTCACCCACTCTTCTTTTTTTTGGTCCACTCAAACGTTCCTCCCCGCCTTTGCACCTGTTGTTCTATAGTACACCCCGTTCCTTCACCCACTCTCCTTGGGGGGGTGTTCTGATTCAATCAGAGTTCAAACCTAACCAACCCGCTGCGCAGAGCCGTCTCTGCGTGCCTGTGGCGTATTCTGATTCAATCAAACCAACCCACCTGTTACCATTCAACCCCCCATGCACTCTCCATTTCTTAACCCAACTTCACCTCACCCACCCTTTTGTCACCTCACATCCCGTTTCCCTCCCTCCTCTCTCCCATCCACTCGCTTTTCTCGCCTCCCCCCCACCCCCGCCCCGCCTCTCCACCCCATGCGCAGCTGCGTGTGTTCCTGAACGCGTATCTGCTGCTGCACAGCGCCAACAGGGCTGCTGTCATTGCCACTGGCCACTCCTGCTGGTCCGTCTCCCTGCTGCCCTTGCCTGCCTGCCTGCCTGCCTGCCTGCCATGTGCTGCCATGTCCAGCCAGGGTACAACGGCATTGCATGTCTACTGCACTGAATTCGTGCTCAAGCTGCGGTTTAGAGCCATGAGTGGAATGGGCTTGGAATGGCATCACTCTCCCCCCCCCCCCCCCCCCCCCCCCTCCCACTCCGCCATCCTTAATGTGACCCCTTTCCCTTCCTACCGGTTGCTTTCCCTAAACCCTTTCCTTTTTTTGGCTGAATTATACTCCACCTTTTGAAGCAACCACTTCGCTCCTATTGTGCTCCAAGGCCACCCACCTAACCGCCCCCTCCTATTCCAAGCACGCTTTATCTCTCTCTCTCCCTCTCCTCACTCCGTTTCACGTTTTGCTCATCCTCCTACCTTCACATTCCCGTGCTGACTCTCATATGCCCCTGCGCCCATGCCCCTATGCCGTTACACTCGAACCACTCCACCAGTGCATTTGTGCATCCTCCTACTTCTGATACCTCCGCCGCTTCCTCCTCCTCCTCCTCGCTTTCATCTCCCTCATCTCCTGCCGAGGCAGCCGTTTCACAACTGCTCAGCTTCGCAACAGCAGAGACCGAGCGGGCAAAGCGAGAGGCAGCAGCAGGGACAGCGGAAGGGGGGGAGAGTGCAGGGAGAGAGGATGGGGATGGGGGCACGGAGAGAATGGAGGGAGTGGAGGGGAATGGGGCGATGGATAGGGAGATGAGGGACAGGGAGGGGAGCCAAGAGGGGGGAGTGAGTGGGGGAAGAGAGGGTGGAGAGAGTGGGGGGAAGGGATTAGTGGGGGATCAAGCGTCGCTGCTGTCAGGGTCTTTGTCAATGGCACTGGCATGTGAGTGTTGCTGCATCTGCTTTGCCCCCCTCACCCTGCCCAGCCTCCCTTTGTCTCTCTAGTTTTGAGGCGCCTCAAAGCAAGCGTCTCTGCTGTCAGGGTCATTGTCAATGGCGCAGGCATGTGAGTGTTGCTGAATCTATCACCCCTCACCCTGCCCAGCCTCCCTCTGTCCCTCTTTTGATGATTTGTTTTGGAGGCGCCACAAAAACAGCACTGGCATGTAAGTGTTGCTGCCTCTGTGACCCTCGCCCAGCCCAAGCTCCCTCTGTCCCTCTCGGTGCCCTCGAGCCCACATAGAACACGCCTCACCCAACCTCCATTAATCTGTCTCCACCACTCTCCGTTCCCCAGACTGTGTGAAGGCCAGCAGCAAGGGCATGTCAGCTCCAAGACCACGAGTAGGCCATGGGATGGCATGGCATGGCATGGGATGGGATGCCATGTGATGGTATGGCATGGCATGGGATGCTTGGGATGGCATGAAATTGCATGGCATGACAACATGGGACAGCATGCATTGGCATGGATACCACAGCACTACATGCGACTTCTGAGTCGGTCAAAAAACAGGTGGTGGCAAATCCTTCAGGGCACATGTTTTTGAGTCGGTGTATCTCTTTCGTTTTTTGGTTACTCGGTTACTATTGTGTTTTCTCATCCACCTTTCGCTGTGAATGCATCCATCCATCCCTCTCTCATGTCGCCATGTGTTTGACATGCACTGAGCATGTGCACGTGTCCACATCATCTCCCTCCGTCCTCATGATAGTGCGTCTGTCTGTGCGAACACAGAACCGTCTTGTGCGCTGTTTTTGAGTTGATTCAAAAAAAGACACACACAACTGTCCTATGCTATGCATGTGTGTGTGTGTGTGTGTGTGGGAGGCGGGAGCGAATGCGCATGCATGTGCTCTTGTGCGTGCTTGGATGAGGTCGTTTGTGGGTATGCATGTGAGTATGTGTGCGTATGAGTGTGTGTGCGTATGAGTGTGTGAGTGTGACTGTGAGTGTGACCGTGAGTGTGAATGTGTGTATCTTATCATGATGCATTTAGATCCATGCCCTGATATCCATTTATCTGCATGTCTCTCTATGCATGGGTGTTGGCATGTATGTGCATGCATTGGTTTCTGCATGCGCGTCTGCATCCATGTGTGCATGTGTGTATGCATGCATGCATGCACATATACATGCATGCATGTGTGTATGCATACATGCATGTATGTGTGTTCTTCTCAGATACTCTGCATCCATGGCTCACCAGACGCTGCCCAACAGTTACGTGTGCTTGAACCCACTCATCCATCCACACATCTACCCTTGTGCATCTGCTCTCTGCTTACATGCTTACATGTTCCAAGTCATGTTTTGACTTGGAACACCACATAAACTGTGGGCTTCTCACTTGCCTCACAACACCAAGAGATACACAAAAGGCCGGCCGGATATATGTTTGATGTTTACATTACCTGCTCCACTGTTACGATGTCTCACAAGCACCTCTGGTTTCTTTCCCTCCTCTTCCCTTCGCCACTTTCCTTCCCCATTCCCTACCCTCCCCCATTGTTTCCCCTCCTTTCGCTCCCCCTGCCCATTCCGCCAGGTACGTCGCAATAATGAACGCCATTTTCTCCTCGCAGAAAGCAGCAGTAAGCAGCTCGTTGCTCCTAGTCTTTCAAGCACAGTCAGCACGGCATGGTCATGGTCATGGTCATGGTCATGGTCATGGTCATGGTCATGGTCATGGGCGTGGTCATGGATAGGCATGGGGATGGGCATGGGCATGGGATGTGGTTGGGGATGGGCATGCGCATGGGCATGGGCATGGGCATGGGCATGGGCTTGGGCATGGGCATGGGCATGAGCATGGGCATGGGCATGGACATGGGTATGAGGATGAGACTGCGCGTTGGCATTGGCATGGCGCTAGCATAGGCATGGGTCTGGTTGCTTTCATTGACCCCATTGTGCGTTGGCATTGGAGAGGCACCTCTCCTTGTCACTGCACTCATGTGCGCTCCCGTTCGCCCCTCCCATGTCTGTTTGTGCGTGCATGTGCGTGCATGTCTGTTTGTGCGTGCATGTGTGTGCATGTGTGTGCATGTGTGTGCATGTGTGTGCATGTGTGTGCATGTGTGTGCATGTGTCCACCGCAGGTGCCTATAGATGCATGTGCCATTGGGGAGGCGGACTCTGCCTTTCTGCAGCAGGTGGGCGGGCATTGCTGCATCACATGGCATTACATGGCATTACATGGCATTACATGGCATCACATGGCATTACATGGCATCACATGGCATCACATGGCATCACATGGCATCACATGGCATCACATGGCATCACATGGCATCACATGGCATCACATGGCATCACATGGCATCACATGGCATCACATGGCATCACATGGCATCACATGGCATCACATGGCATCACATGGCATCACATGGCATCACATGGCATCACATGGCATCACATGGCATCACATGGCATCACATGGCATCACATGGCATCACATGGCACTGGATCACATGCATGGTTGCTTGCATGGCATCACATGGCAGTTCGTCACATACATTGTGGCATGGCAGCGGGCTCACCTCACCACAGCTCTCTCTCTCACGCCCTCACTCGCCCTCCCCATTTCATTCCCTTCACTTCTCCCCCTTGCCCCACCATGCCCGCCCACAGGCGCCCTTCCTCACAGGAGGCATCTCTATCTGCACTCCTCTCCACTCCACTCCACGCGCTTTGAGTCAACTCAAAAACTCGCCTCAATTTGATTCGACTGAAAAATCCTCGCACTCCCGATATCACTCCCTTCCTTCCCCTGGCCCCCCTGTCCGCTCACAGGCGGTGCTCCTCACAGGAGGGCTGCTCTATCTGCACTGCACTCCACTCCGCAAGCTTTGAGTCGAATAAAAAAACTCGCCTCTTTTGTATTCGACTGGAAAATCCTCACGCTCCCCATATCACCTTCCTTCCTCAGGCCCCCCTACCCCCCCCCCCCCCCCCCCCCTGTCCGCCCACAGGCGGCATTCCTCACAGGAGGCCTCTATCTGCACTCCACGCGCCCCAACGCCCTTCTCCAAGACCTCCTGGTATCGTCATATCCTTCCTCTCCCAGAATCAAACCTTCGAAGGTGCACTGCACGCATGTACACCTGCGTCATGCCCCGCCCGCTTTTGAGGCTCCTCAAAAGGTGCACGTACACCTTGGTCATGCCATGCCATGCCCCGCCTGCCATAAATAGCTGGCTTGCGCTGTGAACAAGTTTTCTCCTGTCTCATCCCATGCCTTCCCCGCCCACTCCATCTGCTACAGCTAGTGTCTGGGGTGGATCAGTTCTCTTGGGACTTCATCACAATCTCTCTCTCTCCTACCTCTTCCCATCCCGCCCCTCTCACATGGGCGGCAGCTGGTGTTTGGAGTGGATCAGTTCTCTCGGGACTTCATCACATTGCCTCAGCCATCAGCCGTGGACTTCCGAGCCTCGTATGCACCCTGCCATGCCATGCTTTACCATTTGATGCCGTGCTGCTCCCCCTCTTCCATTCCGCATTCTTTCTCCCTTCCCCACTCACGCCCTGTTGCAAAACCCATCATTCTCCGTCCCAATCCCATCCGCAACTTGCCCTGTGTTCTGCTAACTCAACCGTCCCAGCCACCCACATTCCCTCCAACCCCCCCCATTCCCTTCCCCCTATGTGCATCGCAGCTGTTTCTGCCGTAAGCGACCAGTGGACATGGGCTCTGTGTGCTCCGTGTGTCTCTTGAGACGTCTTAAAAGCCCCTCCATTCTCCCCCCCCCGTCCCCCCTTCCCGTTCTCCCTGGGCATCACAGTTGCTTCTGCCATAAGCGACCAGTGGACATGGGCTTTGTGTGCTCCGTGTGTCTTTCTATCTTCTGCTCCCCTGCACGCACCTGTGCCACGTGCGGGTAAGCCTTCCAGTATCTCTTTTTCCCGTGTTCCTTCCGTGTTCGTTCCGTGTTCCTTCCGTGTTCGTTCCGTGTTCCTTTCCTCTTGTGTCCTCTTGTCTCCTTTTGTGGCCCTCTCTTGTCGTGATTCATGTGAGCCTGTTCTGTCCGTTCTTTTGTCTCAGGGTTCATTTATTTCTGTCGCAGGGTTTGTGTCTCTTTATCCACCCTCGTTTTGTTTCGCGTCTCCTCGTTCATTTTCGGGGTCATACTGTTCCATCTAGCCCCTCATTTCTGCTCTAGTGACTTTTGAGTCGACTCAAAAGTCACCTCGAGTCATACTGTTCCATCTAGCCCCTCGTTTCTGCACTAATTGTACGGTACGGCACGGCACGGCACAGCACCCTCTGCCCCCTGCCACTTGTTTGGATCCATCTTACATTCATCCCTACTAATATCCCCCCTTGCACCTCCCCCCCTGCACCTCCCCCCCTGCACCTCCCCCCCTGCACCTTCTCCCTTGCACCTCTTCCCCTGCACCTCTTCCCGCGAACCGTTTTCCTTGCACTTTCTGTGCGCATAACAGAGCCGAGTTCGCCTCAGCGAAACGGACAAGAGTCAATTCTTCCCAGCAGCAGCAACAGCAGTAGCCACCGCAGCAGAAGCAACCACAGCCAGTAGAGGAAGAGCAACAGCAGCAGCCGCTTAGCACCCAAAATTAGACACCGGGTGCATTAGCTGATGTGGTGCTTTATCTCAGAAAATAGGAGGTGTTAGATGTTACAGCCAGGTTTAGTACTAGTCACAGTCAATGTGCTAAGTAGGTTCTGTGATGGAGTTCTATACACTCCTGCAGTAAGCCTGCAGGGCAAACATTCCAAACAAACGTGTTCGAGGCATACTAAAATTTCTCAGCATCAAGTTTGGGTCACTGGCAGGGCAACACAATGCCATGGAGCTGTCTTTCACATTTGTTTGACCTGGCACGAAATATTGTTTACCAACATACTACCATATGGCAGAATTGTTGCACATGTACCGTACATGTAACACGCGACATATATGAGCCCTTACATCCCAAGAACATGACTACCGTTCCGCCACCACCTACAAATTTTGCCATTCGAAGGACCGTAGGTACCGCTCATTTCTTGTCTTTTACAGTTGCGTTGGGTGCGCAGGCCAGTAACAATCATTTACGTTTGCACCAAGGCCTTGACATCGCAAAGTCCTATATGCAATCAACTCACACTGCTCGTCTCACCAACCCTCTCCTTTCACCTTGACCCGCTGTCCCTGTTGCCATGCCACACTTATTTGAGGCTGCTGCTGTGGCATCTGCTGCTGCTGCTGCTGCTGCTGCTGCTGCTGCTGCTGCTGCAGTAAGCAGCTGACTAGCAGCATCATCCCCTCCCTCTCTGGCACCACTATCACCACCACTGCTGCTGTTGCTTCTGTGGTCGATGCCGTCACTGTCCCAGTTCAAATCTTCTCTCCTCAAATTATCCCATTGGCCTTGATCCTCCTCCACATGACTGCACGGCCTGCTGTGCCCATCTGCAGTGTTTTTGCCGTGAGCACCTGCACCACCACCCAGTAGCACATCTGTCCCCGCGCACATATCCGCGGCCAGGAGAGTGCTTGAAACGATGGTCTCACGCATGTCCTTCTCTGCGCTGTTGCAGCGGCACTGCAGGTGCCGGTCGTCAAACCACCTCGCTTCCAGCTGTTGAGGGCAAGGGGAAAATTATGGAGAAATGAAGGAGAGTGTTTGAAGCGATGGTATCACGCATGTCTTTTTCAGTGCTGTGGCAGCGGCACTGCAGGTGCCGGTTGTCAAACCACCTCGCTTCCAGCTGAAAAGGGGCATTGAGGGCAAGGAGGGAGGGAGGTGAGGGCAAGGGAGGGAGGTGAGGGCAAGGGAGGGTGGTGAGGGCAAGGGAGGGTGGTGAGGGCAAGGGAGGGTGGTGAGGGCAAGGGAGGGTGGTGAGGGCAAGGGAGGGTGGTGAGGGCAAGGGAGGGTGGTGAGGGCAAGGGAGGGTGGTGAGGGCAAGGGAGGGTGGTGAGGGCAAGGGAGGGTGGTGAGGGCAAGGGAGGGTGGTGAGGGCAAGGGAGGGTGGTGAGGGCAAGGGAGGGAGGTGAGGGCAAGGAGACAAGCACGGAGAGAGGGAGGGGAAGATGGCAGAAAAAAAGCCCGTCCCTGGTCCAACGATGTGTGCCCTATGCCCTGACACTGACACTAACACTGGCACTGACACTGGCACTAACACTGACACTAACACAGACAATAACACTGGCACTGACACTGGCACTAACACTGGCACTGGCACTGACACTAACACTGACACCGACACTGCGTTGCATATGTGCCTCATGATGTGATGGCTCGTACCTCATCCAGGGGCGGTAGGTGCAGATCCCACACAAGGCCTAGTCGCTCCAGACAGCACAGGATATACCATGTGATGTCAATCTGACGAGGCAGTCACGGGGGAAGGATAAGTGAGACAAGCAGGGAGGCCGAGAAAATATTATGCTACAGGGATGGAGATCTGAGATGAGAAGAAAGCAAGGGAGGTATGGAGCAGGCAGGCCGGACGTCTTTCAGTGGATGTATGAATCGTCTATCTATGCAGCGGGGGAAAGAGGCTGTAGGGACACACCTCTTCCGGGTAGAAACCATGCTTGGCCGACCTCATGTAACACTGCGCACATGCACATACACACACCCGAGTATGCACATGCACACAGATAACGCGTATGCGCAAACGCGCATGCAGATGCACACACATGCACGAGCAGCAAAGGCAGAGACGAAGGATTAGCGGTGCGGATGACTCGAGCAGCTTGGTGAAAGTATACCCCACCACACTCATGAGTGCAAGAACAGTACATTCACACATGTGTGCGAGCAGCAGCAGCGCGATGACATGGATCGTGTCCATTGGGCGTCATATATGACGGCAGTGTTTGAACAAACAACAACAGCACATAGGAGACGGACAGGGCATGCACGCACTCACATGGTGGTTGTTGTGCCAGCCCTCGCCCAGAGTAGCAAAGTCCCAGTGCACGGTTGTTCTACTGAGGCGGCACAAAAGGCGAGGCAGAGCGCGCACTCACATGGTGGTTGTTGTGCCAGCCCTTGCCCAGAGTAGCAAAGTCCCAGTGCACGGTTGTTCTACTGAGGCGGCACAAAAGGCGAGGCAGAGCGCGCACTCACATGGTGGTTGTTGTGCCAGCCCTTGCCCAGAGTAGCAAAGTCCCAGTGCACGGTTGTTCTACAAAGGCGGCACAAAAGGCGAGGCAGAGCGCGCACTCACATGGTGGTTGTTGTGCCAGCCCTCGCCCAGAGTGGCGAGTGCGAGCCCAAGGCTGTTGCGTGCATCGCAGTGTGTGTTGAACTCGCAGCGGAAGCGACGCGACCCCACCAGATGAGCCAACGAGTTGATGCAGTAGCTGGAGGCATGGAGAGCGGGAGCAGGATGCAGTAGCAGGAGCAGTAGCAGGAGGGGGCGAATCGGTTATGAGGTGGATATGCTTTGTTGGGGTGTGGTGTGGATGGGTAGAGTGGGTTCGGACAGGAGGGAAGAGATGGCTGGTTGGGTTACACATGGCTATACCACACATGCACACACAGGCACCAAATGCCACTATTGGAAGTTCCCAAACGTGACTGCCAGCACACATACGTGAAGTGCCAGCACACATACGTGAAATGCCAGCACACATACGTGAAGTGCCAGCACACATACGTGAAATGCAAGCACACATACGTGAAGTGCCAGCACACATACGTGAAGTGCCAGCACACATACGTGAAGTGCCAGCACACTTACGTGAAGTGCCAGCACACATACGTGAAGTGCCAGCACACATATGTGAAGTGCCAGCACACATACGTGAAATGCCAGCACACATACGTGAAGTGCCAGCACACATACGTGGAATGCCAGCACACATACGTGAAGTGCCAGCACACATACGTGAAGTGCCAGCACACATACGTGAAGTGCCAGCACACATACGTGAAGTGCCAGCACACAAACGTGAAATGCCAGCACACATACGTGAAGTGCCAGCACACATACCTGAAGTGCCAGCACACATACGTGAAATGCCAGCACACATACGTGAAGTGCCAGCACACATACGTGAAGTGCCAGCACACATACGTGAAGTGCCAGCACACATACGTGAAATGCCAGCACACATACGTGAAGTGCCAGCACACATACGTGAAGTGCCAGCACACATACGTGAAGTGCCAGCACACTTACGTGAAGTGCCAGCACACATACGTGAAGTGCCAGCACACATATGTGAAGTGCCAGCACACATACGTGAAATGCCAGCACACATACGTGAAGTGCCAGCACACATACGTGAAATGCCAGCACACATACGTGAAGTGCCAGCACACATACGTGAAGTGCCAGCACACATACGTGAAGTGCCAGCACACATACGTGAAGTGCCAGCACACATACGTGAAATGCTAGCACACATACGTGAAGTGCCAGCACACATACCTGAAGTGCCAGCACACATACGTGAAATGCCAGCACACATACGTGAAGTGCCAGCACACATACGTGAAGTGCCAGCACACATACGTGAAGTGCCAGCACACATACGTGAAATGCCAGCACACATACGTGAAGTGCCAGCACACATACGTGAAATGCCAGCACACATACGTGAAGTGCCAGCACACATACGTGAAGTGCCAGCACACATACGCGAAGTGCCAGCACACATACGTGAAGTACCAGCACACATACCTGAAGTGCCAGCACACATACGTGAAGTGCCAGCACACATACGTGAAGTGCCAGCACACATACGTGAAGTGCCAGCACACATACGTGAAGTGCCAGCACACATACGTGAAATGCCAGCACACATACGTGAAATGCCAGCACACATACGTGAAATGCCAGCACACAACAGTAGCCACGCAGAAGCCCCAGCCGAAGGCAGCTATGCCTCCAGTAGCCCAGAGAAGCACCGCCAGGGAGAGAGGTGGCACAAAGTGGTACCTGGTTCAAGGAAAGGGGGAGTGGATGAGGAATGGGGGAGATGGAGTGTACGGGTGGGAAGGGGAAGGGTTAAGGGGGTAAATGCAAGGAATGGATGATCAATTGGTGTGCAATATGTTGTCCTATGCGGGTGTGGGGGGATAAGAAGAGATGGGGTTGGAGAGGAGTTGGGGTTGATGGAGAAGGGGAGCGAGAGGTTCAGATGTGTGTCTGCATGCATGCGTGCGTGTGTGTGGCTGTGTGTGTGTGTGCGCGCGCGCGCATGTGTGCGTGCAGCCTGCGTGTGTGCATGTGCGTGCATGTGCATGTGCGTGTGCGTGCATGTGCGTGTGCGTGCATGTGCATGTGCGTGCGTGTGCATGTGCATGTGCGCGTGCATGTGTGTGTGCATGTGTGTGCATGTGCGTGTGCGCGCATGTGCGTGTGCGCGCATGTGCGTGTGCATGTGCGTGTGCGCGCATGTGCGTGTGCATGTGCGTGCATGTGCATGTGCGTGCATGTGCATGTGCGTGCATGTGCATGTGCATGTGCGTGGATGTGCATGTGCGTGCATGTGCATGTGCATGTGTGTGCGTGTGCATGTGCGTGCATGTGCATGTGCGTGCATGTGCATGTGCGTGGATGTGCATGTGCGTGCATGTGTGTGCATGTGCGTGTGGTGGGGCTGGGTCGTACGAGTCGAGCCAATGCAGCTCGGGGAAAGGCGAGAGGTCCGGGATGGCATGCCACAGCACAGCAGTGTGGCGCGTGGAGCACAGAAACCTGCTCGTGTAATGCACGCACGCACACGTTTCACCCATGCTCAGACCCCACGCATGCACACACACATGCACACACACATGCACACGCACACACATGCACACGCACACACATGCACACGCACACACATGCACACGCCCAAGCACGCACACAGACACACACACACACACATGCACACGCACACACATGCACACGCACAAGCACGCACACAGACACACACACACACACATGCACACGCACGCACATGCACACGCACAAGCACGCACACAGACACACACACACACACATGCACACCCTCATACACATTCACACAAACACACTCTCACACACACTCAACACAAGCCCACGCGCGCGCACACACACACACACACACACACACACACACACACACATAGGGGCAAAGTTTCAAAAGGAGGGAGGAGAGGAGAGCAACGAACGAGTTAGACCAAGCACCCATACAGACCGTACTAAACTACGTGTTCAACCCAAAAGTAGCATCTCCACAAGTCCATCCCACACATGCTCTCTCCCTTGCCTCCTCCTCATCTTCCCGAATGCAAAGCAACCCCCACCTCCAACCTCCCCACCCTAAAGACATTGTCAAGCTCTTTGGATGGCTCAAATCCCCCACTTCCAACCTCCCCAGCACCCCACCAACCCCCCTTCTCCAAACCACCCGGTTTCTCTGCCACCCCGCGCCCATAATCTCTCCCCGCCCTGCCTTCCCTCCCCAGCGCTCGCTCACCAGCCCATGTGCGACCAGAAGAAGCCCCAGTGCAGCGGGCTGTGCGCGTCCTCTGCTGTGTCCGCGGTCCTGACGTGGGGGCACGGAGGCAAAGGGGCAGGGGGCACGGAGGCAAAGGGGCAGGGGGCGGGGGGACAGGGGGGAAGGGAGGCAGGGGGGCAGGGAGGCAGGGAGGCAGGGGGGCAGGGGGACAGGGGGGCAGGGAGGCAGGGAGGCAGGGGCGCAGAGGGGCAGGGAGGCAGGGGCGCAGAGGGGCAGGGAGGCAGGGGCGCAGAGGGGCAGGGAGGCAGGGGCGCAGAGGGGCAGGGAGGCAGGGGCGCGGTGTGTTGTGTAAGGGTGCAGACTGCATAGAGTCCTTATACTCTTCGCGCCAAGGCTTCAAGCTTGTGCACCAGTTGTGACCGGTCTGTGCACGTGCTAAGCGCGTTATTCATGCTGGCAGTGATACCTGTTCTGCTGAAAGCAGTGCTGGAGAAAGCAGTGGTGGTAACCAACCGTGGTGGCACACCAGTGAGGCATGTGGCGCGTTACCTGTGACGATTTTTCAGGCGCCTAAAAAATCACGCCAGTGTGGCGTGTGTGGCGTGTGTCGCGTTACCTGTGGTGGTGGCGGTGGTGCGACGCCCACCAGAGGGGCCCCTTCTGGAAGGAAAGGCACCCCAGCAGAGCAAACAGGAACTGACCCACTCGCGACGTCTTGAACGACCTGAGAGGACGGGCAAGGGGGAGAGAGTGATGGGGGCGAGAGCAGGTGGGTGGGGAATGAGTGAGTGAGGGAGAGAGAACGTTAAAACGAGGGAGGATATTTCACTAGAGTGACAGCACCACGGAAGGAGCAGCAGGAGGGGCAGCAGCAGCGGTGGAAAGCGGTGCTAAAGCAGGTATCCGTGATGTATGGTTGGGTCGGACGGACGGACTGACCTGTGGGAGAGCAAGCGGTGGTAACCAGCAGTGATGCCGAGCATGCGCAGGGCGTAGGAGAATAGGGCGAGCAGCAGCAGGCGAGGCGAGGCTGGGATGAAGACCAGCGTCAGCAGCGCCAGCACGTGCACGCCCACGTATACCTGCTCCCCGCGCACGTGACACGTGGCACGTGGGATGTGAGACATGGGATGTGGGGGGAGGAAAGGGTTGAGCGGGGGGGAGCAATTTTTAGGCGCCTATTTGTATAGCATGCTACACACGAGAGCACAGCAGACACACATATACCTGGAAGGAGACATCGCACAGCAGATCCGTGACACTCATAGTCCCGTCCAGGAAAATGGCGCCACTTCTTCCGCCTCCCTCTCCCTTCCCCGCCTGCAACCTCTGCTCCCGCCCGCCTCCCTCTCCGCTCGCTGCTCCCCGAGCCTCCACTGCCACCGCCTCGACTGTTGGGAGTGCTGCGGCTGCTCCGTCTACAGATCCTGCAACTACCCCATCCATCGTTTCCGTTACCTCGTTCCCCCATGGTTCCCCATCCCCTTTCCGCATTTCCCCGCCTCTCCCCTCCCCACTCCGCTCCCGCGCCCCCGTCTTGTTTTCGCGCTCCGCAAGCTCTTCCAACCCCCCCGCCCTCTCGCGCGCGCATGCGAGAGGCGCGGAAATGTCGGCGCTGGAGGTGGGAGGATGATTGTGAGCCGTCGGATCGGTGTCGACGGCAGAAACGGCGGAGGTAGCAGAAACGGCGGAGGTAGATGATGGAGCAGGAGAGGGCGAGGCGAGGAGCGGAGGGACATGAATGGAAGGCCTCTTTGTTACAGACGACATTCTCCTGAAGAGCTTAGATAGGCACGCGACTAGGCGTGTCGACGCAGAAAAAGGCAACCCAAATAGGTTCCGGAAGGCGGTTGCAAGACAACAATCGGCAGATGCTGGCTGGAAACGATAACGGTACTAGATAACGATACTCATTGGTAAATAACGATAATGATACTAGAATCCGGGTGGACAGGCTGATCCTGTTAGCTCAGTTGGTTCTGCTGCATCAGCCGGCAAGATGCCACATGTCAGTCCCTGGCCCTTTGTCCGCAGCTGTCAGCGATCGACGGCTGGATCACCCTGTAAAGGGAGGAATGGGAAGTGGCGCCGAGGGAGGGGAGGTAGAGCGAGATAGGGGTACAAACGCACGTAAGTGGACGGGAGCGGGGAGCTGAAGCGGCACTTTCTCTGTATCTGGACGATCGAGTTTTCCTGCCGGAACAGCAATGCAGCACGGACTTTCTAGCGTTCTATGTGAAATGCAGCGGCCAGTGTGCAATGCAGCGGTCACTGTCACGTAAAAGCTTGCACCATTCCCAACGGCGGAAGCAGAAAGGAAAAAACAGGCACCTTGGCAACGATCACATTTCTCAAGACACATTCCGTACCTTCAGTACGTGTCTCGTAATATTGATCCTGACAGCGCGGTGCGCGAAAATTAGAGGGCGCAAGCTCTCGGTCGGTGTATAGGATATCTGTTGCTTCCGTGGTGAGGTACAAGCTAAACCGAGCGAAAATAATGGTGATGGTACTGCTGCTGGTGCTGGTCAGGTTGTTGTGTACACTACGAGTGTGTTTGACCATTGACGAACCTGAGGGAGCTTCGAGAATTGAAGAGCTCGGGGGAAAGGGAGGGATGATCTCGAGGTGGTGATCCCAAGGGATGATGTCGGGATATCTCTTCAGTCGCGTGTACAGTGCACTGGGAAGGGGACGTCATTGGGGAAGGTTCATTGAAGCTTGCCAAACTCTGGTCAGTTCCCAAACCAACATCAACGGGCTTTCCTTTATTGGGGGAGTGTTTCAGAAAATGGTGGTAATTCATACTGTTGTTAATCAGACCACTTAGCAAAGTAGCAGTGGAATTAGAGTTCGCGCACGTTTGTCTGCTGGAAATGTTAGGGTGGTATTCACAACTCAGCACAAGTGGAGGTCAGCTTGATTGAGTGCGGACGTGGTACATCCACTGCAACGCTGGGCACATAAACTTTCAGGGTGAAAATACTACTTTGATGATGAAGCCGCCTCCAGGGAGCGGAGATTCAGGAAAAAGAGCACGACACGTCACTACCTACGTGGCTTTGAATTGTGGTGTGGACACAGCCATCGTAACACCATGAGCTTGCGCTTCGCTAAGTTCACCTCATCCACAAAAGCCTACACAGTACAGTTTCCAAAACTAAATAGTTCATATAATTTCAAAATATTAGGTGAGATATGTCGCATATTTCCACATTATGAAACTACACAGTCGCGGACAATTCATCCGCGGTTGAGCAAGTCTACATCCCCTCTAAAGCCAGATTCACGTAAACCCCCACATCCGCCTGCTGGTAACCCCTGTTGCGTGGGTTTCTGCTCCATACTGTCAGGCGGCCCTGCCAGCAGTAACACTTTCCGCAAGTTCCGCTGGGTACCTCCGCCCACTACCGTTGGGTGCTCGTTACTGAGCCATGGCCGTGAATGGAAGTAGGATAGTAACTATCTCTCCATGCGCACCCGCTGCCCCTCCTCCTCCACCCGCGGCCCTCCCGTGCGCGCACTTGCCGTCACCTCGCGTTTCCAGCATTCGCTTCTGTAGGGAACACCTCGGTAGCGCTGGCGGCGCCGGCGGCGGCAGGGACTGTAGAAACCGCAGCCGATCGAGCCGCAGACGCGCCGCGATCGTCGCTGGAGCCGCTGCGAATCGGGTGGGCGGGCAGGGCGGCGGTGAAAGCTTCGAAGACAGGAGCAATGCCGATGAGCGGCTTAGCGCAGACCGAGAGAATGCGGACCGAGGCGGCGCGGGCGGAGGCAATGCGGAGCGCCTGGAGGATCTAGAGGCCGTGGATCGCCTCGCGCAAGAGCTGGCCGCCGCCGCAGGAGCAGCGGGAGCGGAGTCGGAAACCTTCGACAGGCGCAGCGCGGCGCATGAGGCGGAAAAAGCGGAAGCGGAGGCGGAGGAGCAACAAGGGCGGAGGAGCGCGCGGGGGGAGGGGGATGATGCGGCGGCAGCGTGGATCGGGTCGAGTGTGGCATTCGCGGAGGAGGACGAGCAGGGGCGCAAGTACCTCGAGGTGCTGGTTACCAGCGTGCACCGCGTTGACCACGGTACAGTACGGAGTGCAATGTGGTGCTGATCGATGCGGTGCGGAGTGTGTGTGCTACGGTATCTTGCCACGTGCGTGAATGCTGTTGTGAGCTTACGCTCTTTCCTTGTGGATTGGCCTTCTCCACTCCACTCCACTCCACTCCACTCCACTCCACTCCCACTCCATTCCGCGTCTTTCCCGTTGCCTTACTCGCCCCCTGTACCCACGCGTTCAGTCTCCGTCTCCTCGCCCCTCTCGAGGCACCCAACCTTCATTCCCCTTGCCTCTCTGCTCCGCCATCCTCCTCCATAGCTCCCCCGTCCCTCCTGGGACCCTCCTCCGTTCCTCCCTTCTCCGTCTACTCGTGCAACAGGCATGGTGGTGGGAGTGTTGTGTTCACCGGCCAACATGGGACCGCCGGTGTACACATGCCGAGAGTTACCTCTCTTCCTCAAAACCTTCCACATTCTCTCGCCTCCCCTCCCTTTCCCCTGGTGTGCGCCAGGCATGGTGTTGGGGGTGCTGTGTTCACCAGCCAACAGGGGAACGCCAGTGGACGTGTGTCGGGAGTTCCCTCTCTTTCTCAACGGCCTCATCGCCACTCTTTCCTCGCCCCTCCCCCACCGCCCTTCCCCTCCAACCCCCTGTTTCCTCATTCGACAGGCATGGTGGTGGGGGTGCTGTGTTCGCCGGCCAACAGGGGACCGCCAGTGGACGCGTGTCGGGAGTTCCCGCTCTTTCTCAACGACCTCATCGCCGCGCCCTGCCACGACGCCATGCAACGCGGGGGGCTTCCCAATGGTACGCGACGCTGCCCACGAGAGAAAGGGCCTCGCTCACTCGCTCTCATCTCCTTCCTTCGTATCGTATTAGTGCCGTTCGCTCAATTCATTCACTCTACAGTTCCTTCTTTCCCGCCTTTCCACACCAGCTTTACAACCTCCAACTCCCACTTCCTCCCATCCACCACCCCCCACCTCCCCCATCAATCCTCGCTTCCCTGACCCAAATCCCCATCAGCGTTGGAGGGGCTAGAGAGGCTGAGCGACATGGACTTGCAGCGAACGCTGGTGCATGCTATTAGCGAGGATATAGGGGCAGTATCGTTTGTGCTTCTGGATGAAAAGACTGGGGAGTTCTCACGAGTGGACTCCTCCTTCCCCCAGGTGATTTCAAAAGGCCTCAAAAGGCTTCATTCTCTGGTGCAATGGAACGGAGTAGCGAGGATTGCACTAGGGTGTCAAAAGAGTACCAAGTATGAGCAAAGACATGAGCAAATACTTATGTGCGAAAACATGCAACGGTTACGCGGTGCGTGCGAGCTAGCTTGTGCTAGGCTGGCATCGAGGTTCGGGCTAGCCCCGAAGCGTAGGCCGACTCGGCCGGGCCAGCGGTGCATGGTTTGGTGAAACAGCGCACGCAAAGTTGGCGAAGCCCCGTTATCAGTGACGGGCGAACAACGGCTGCTGCTGCACGCGATGTTGCTGGTCGCGGAAAGGAATGTCGAGAAAATTCCTTACACTACCCCCCCCCCTTCAAGAAGCCCCCTCCGCTATGCAAGTGTGTGGATATCACGAAAACCCCGGCTTGGACAGGAGTCGACTTTTGAGGTGTCTCAAAAGGGTATAGGGGCAGTGTAGTTTGTGCTACTGGACGAGAAGAAAGGGGATTTCTCACGAGTAGACTCCTCCTTCCCTCAGGTGAGAGGTGACGCACTCACACGTGCGCACACATACACGCGCTCACACACACACGCACGCACACACACGCGCGTGCGCACACGCACATACACGCACACACACACACAAACACACACACACACACACACACACACACACACACACACACACACACACGCACGCACTCGCTCCATGGCACGGTTCGCTGCCTCTCTGCGCAGATTTCCTTCCGCCAAAGAATCCCAGCCAAACAAAAACAATCAAACAAACAAGACAAGACAAGACAAGACAAGACAAGCAACTGGCACATCTAGCGCACCATAAACAGTTGTACTCAACAATGCTCCTCCCTCTCTCGCTCGGTTTGCAATGTGCACATCACACGCAGCGATCAGGCAAAGGCACTGGTTCTTCAGAACCGGAAATGCACCTTTTCTCCTCATTCCCCCCTCCTTTCTCCTCCCCTTGCCCCTTCACTTCCATGATCCATCCACCCCTCTCCACGCATTTGAACCCCTCGTATTCCCGGCACACGAAATCAGGCGATGGTGCTGGCGCAGCGTTACCGGCAGCCGCTGCGAGTGGAGCGGTGGTGCATCCTGGCTCTCAAATTCACCTCCCCCTTACTTCCATCCACCCCTCTGCACCCACTCCAACCCCTCCCCGCACTCGCAACAAGCAGGCGATGGCGCTGGCGCTGCGGTACAGGCAGCCGCTGCGAGTGGAGCGGTGGTGCATCCTGGCTTCTAACCGCGACTTCATCGAACGCATGCTGCTCAACCCCATCGGTGGGTGCAGTGAGGCAGGGAGGCAGGGAGGGAGGGAGGCAGGGAGGGAGGGAGGGAGGGAGGGAGGGAGGGAGGGAGGGAGGGAGGGAGGGAGGGAGGGAGGGAGGGATTGAGTGAGTGCACCACTGAGTGAGGGATTGAGTGAGTGACTGACTGATTGAGGGATGGGGGAGTGAGAATTTGAGTGAGTGCAGTCATGCACGCTGCACTCAAAACCTTCCTCGTTATCCCCGCTCTCTCTCCCCCAACCTTCCCACCTCCTCCCCTCGCCCCACAGCAGCACGCGAGGCAGAGAACGATGCATCGCTACTGGGAGACCTGGCGCGGCGCATGCGGGAGCTGGAGATGCGAGGCGTGGACCTGGCGCGGCACAACGAGTCGAATTCTGAGTCGACTCAGAGGTCACCTTCCCTCTCCCCACCTTCCCACCTCCTCCCCTCTCCCCACGGCAGCACAAGAGGTGGAGAACGACGCATCGCTGCTGGCAGACCTGGCGCAAGGAGATGACTTTTGCGTTGTCTCATAAGTTACCATCTCTGTCTCTTCCCTCATCCCCTTCCTCCCCCCTCCCCCCTCCCCCCTCCCCCCTCCCCCCTCCCCCCTCCCCCCTCCCCCCTCCCCTCTCCCCACGGCAGCACGAGAGGCAGAGAACGACGCATCACTGCTGGCAGACCTGGCGCGGCGCATGCGGGAGCTGGAGATGAGGCCGCAGGAGCTCAAGACCCAGCTCGACGCTGTTATCAATGCTGAAGAGGTGAGGCACATCAAGCAACATCAACATGTAAGTCACCTCGGCATACTGTCGAATTGTGCGAGAGCTAGAGATGAGGCCGCACGAGCTCAAGACCCAGCTAGATGCTGCTATCAACGCAGAAGAGGGGAGGCGCAACGATGAGATGAAGATGAAGATGAGATGAGATGAGATGAGATGAGATGAGATGAGATGAGATGAGATGAGATGAGATGAGATGAGCTGAGCTGAGCTGAGCTGAGATGAGATGAGATGAGATGAGATGAGATGAGATGAGATGAGATGAGATGAGATGAGATGAGATGAGATGAGATGAGATGAGATGAGATGAGATGAGATGAGATGAGATGAGATGAGATGAGATGAGATGGGATGGGATGGGATGGGATGAGATGAGATGAGATGAGATGAGACGAGTGGCGGACGCACGCCTTTTTTTTAAGCCGCGCCTCAGTAACAACTCCCACCGCTTCCCCTCTCTCCCCCGCAATACGAGAGAGCAGTGCAGCTGAAGGCGGCTCTGGTGGCGGAGGAGCGAGTGGCGGACGTTCAACTCTTGTTTTGAAGCACCTCAATAGCAATTTCCACCTGCTCCCCTTCTCTCCCCCGCAGTACGAGAGAGCAGCGCAGCTGAAGGCGGCGCTGGTGGCAGAGGAGAGAGTGGCGGACGCACGCCTCTTCTCCCTGCTCGCAGAGGTCAAGCGCCTCTACCTCGACCGCCTCTCCGTCTTCTTCAAGCTCTAGCTCTCACACGCGCTTGAAAGTGGGTTTTGAGACGACTCGTAGTGAGATTTGCGGCGTCTTGAAGGTTGGCTTTCACCCTCAACCGCCTCTCCGTCTTCTTCAAGGTCTAGCTCTCACACGCGCGACTTGGAAGCGGGTTTTGAGACGACTCATACTTGAGATTGGCGGTGTCTTGAAGGTTGGCTTTCTCCCTGCTCGCAGAGGTCAAGCGCCTCTCCCTCAACCGCCTCTCCGTCTTCTTCAAGCTCTAGCTCTCACTCTCTCACACATCTTGAGATCGAGGCTTTCTTGAGGCTACTTGAAGATTCAAGCTCTAGCTCTCACGCAACTTTATTCCAGGTTTGAGACAACTTGTACCGTAGCTTGGGCTTGATTTTGATGTGTCCTTTAAAATGGCTCTCCTCTGCTGCTTGCCGAAGCGCCCGTTCCCGGGTCAGCTCCCTCTCTCTTTCTAGCTGTAGCCTAGCCGCGCTGTGTCGCAAGAACACACGTACGGTACCGTAGTAGCGGTAGTAGTGCAGATCCTGGGTGCTTCAGCTGCAGTGACAGTTGTGTACCTGGGTGGACTATTGAGGAGGAACCGTGCTCACGTTTTTCTAGTCAGGTTATGCTGAAAGTGCAGTTGGCCTCAGCATCCTCACTGGTCCTTGATATTTGATACAGTAATACATGTGATCGAAAACGCTCGCTGTAGGTAGGTTTAAAGCCAGCAGGCAAAATAGTGACCCCCCCTTCTAGTTGGGTCCACTTGAAGATGAAGTATTTTTGTTTTGTTTTGGAATGTTGGGATTGTTGTATGTGTGCTTTTTTTTCCGACCCTCGGACGAGTTTCTTATTGGACCAGGAACGATAGTTCATTGTCAATTCTGATTGGCAGCCAGGTTCTCTCACATGTACATGTGCGAATTTGGCGCAAAGTTGAGCGACGAGCACTCCTGCATTCACTAGAGCCGATACTTCACCAAATTCACAACTAGCAACATCTCACGCTAAATCCCAAGCAGACACACATGTACGTGATGAGAGTGAAAGTGTTTGAACGTTATTAGAGCTAGTAGAGCTCTGATCAATGTGCTACCTTGGACTTGAGGCCTGGGAGAGGTGCAATAACGGGGAACAGAAGAGAAAAACAGCACTAGGGGGGAAATTATGATGGGCAAGGTGACGCGAATGAAGAGAAAGAGGGAGGGCGACGGGAAACGGGAGGGCGACGGGAAGGGAGGGCGTAGGAAACGGGAGGGCGACGGAAGAAGGGGGGCGACGGGAAACGGGAGGGCGACGGGAAACGGGAGGGCGACGGGAAACGCGAGGGCGACAGGAAACGGGAGGGCGACGGGAAACGGGAGGGCGACGGACAACGGGAGGGCGATGGGAAACGGGAGGGCGACGGGAAAAGCGAGGGCGACGGGAAAAGGGAGGGCGACGGAAGAAGGGAGGGCGACGGGAAACGGGAGGGCGACGGGAAACCGGAGGGCGACGGGAAACGCGAGGGCGACGGGAAACGGGAGGGCGACGGGAAACCGGAGGGCGACGGGAAACGCGAGGGCGACGGGAAACGGGAGGGCGACGGGAAAAGGGAGGGCGACGGGAAACGGGAGGGGGCCGGGAAACGGGAGGGCGACGGGAAACGGGAGGGCGACGGGAGAGAGGATAGGCGGCGGGAGAGAGGGTGTCGAGAATAGATGGAAAGACAGAAAAAACAAACAAACCAAGCACAATAACAGAGTACGGAATGGGTCACGCTGACGCGATAGCAGAGGGAGAACGAGAGAGGCGACGGAGAAAGGAGGGCATACGTGATGGGAGAGTCGAAGGTCGCCGGGAGGGCGATTCGAGGCGAGCGAGAAGGGAGGATGGGAAGGGAGCAGAAAGAGAGAGGGCAATGGGAAGGGAGCGGAGAGAGAGAGCGCGACGGGAAGGGAGCGGAGAGAGAGAGCGCGACGGGAAGGGAGCGGAGAGAGAGCGCGATTCGAAGGGAGGAGCGAGAGAGAGGGCGGAGCGGAGAGAGAGAACGCGATGGGAAGGGAGGGGCGAGAGAGAGGGCGACGGGAAGGGCGCGGAGAGAGAGAGCGCGACGGGTAGGAGGGGCGAGAGAGAGGGCGACGGGAAGGGAGCGGAGAGAGAGATCGCGACGGGAAGGGAGGGGCGAGAGAGAGGGCGATGGGAAGGGAGCGGAGAGAGAGAGCGCGACGGGAAGGGAGGGGCGAGAGAGAGGGCGACGGGAAGGGAGCGGAGAGAGAGAGCGCGACGGGAAGGGAGGGGCGAGAGAGAGGGCGAGGGGAAGGGAGCGGAGAGAGAGAGCGCGACGGGAAGGGAGCGGAGAGAGAGGCCGACAGGAAGGGAGCCGGGAGAGAGCGCGATTCGAAGGAGGAGCGAGAGAGAGGGCGGAGCGGAGAGAGAGAGAGAGAGAGAGAGAGAGAGAGAGAGAGAGAGAGAGAGAGAGAGAGAGAGAGAGAGAGAGAGAGAGAGAGAGAGAGAGAGAGAGAGAGAGAGCGATGGGAAGGGAGGGGCGAGAGAGAGGGCGACGGGAAGGGCGCGGAGAGAGAGAGCGCAACGGGAAGGGAGGGGCGAGAGAGAGGGTGATGGGAAGGGAGCGGAGAGAGAGAGTGTGACGGGGCGAGCGACGGGAGGGCGATCGGTAGGGAGGGGCGAGAGAGAGGCCGGCGGGAGGAGAGGGAGAGAGGGCGATGAAGAGGGCGACGGGACGGGCGACGAGATGGCGACGTGACGCGCGACGAGATGGCGACGTGACGCGCGACAGAAAGGGAGACGGGTGGGCGATTTGGCGAACTCGAGGATAGCATAGTGGGCGATGAGAGGGGTGAAAGGAATGGCGACGGGAATGGGGTTCTCTGTGATCGCGAGGAAAATATCACTACGCAGCAACGGCGACGAAGTATCACAAACAATCTAATGATAATTTCATTTCTATGCCGCATCAGCCTAATCCCTCGTCTCTGGCTATTCTATGCTAGGCAAGCTCCGTGAGTTAGGCAAGCTACGTGAATGGAGTTGAAGTAAGCATATGTGGAACCCAGGCCCAGCTTGAAAGTCGAAGTCGGGTCCAACCATCAAAACGCGCGACAAACAACTGTCGTGCAAATGTCGCATGCAGAAAATGCGAACGCGCGAGCACGATCTGATTTTTTTTTTTGGCGGGAACGAATCACGTGTGCTCAGTGTGTGGAAGGGCGATGCCCGGAACAGTGTTGTACACAGCCCATCGTCGTACCCGTTTTGCTCCTTCCGAGCACGATTTCAAGTTGGATCCGCCTTCACTATTTTACATTTCGGCTTAAAGATTTTTACCTGATACCAGTTCTACGAGAGGAATGTCCGAATACACATTCGACTCGTACTTATTCGACAGTCACTATACACTGTACGGGCTCCGCTACCGTGCGCTATCGTAACAAGACTATTTGAGTGTGGTGTGGTCCCAAACCAACCCTGACACAGTGAGCTATCCATTCCATACACTTCCTTGCATGCAAGACGAGATGTACACACTACACACAGAAACAAGATTTCCAAGTTACGACTTAGGACTGCGCTGCATCCACGTATGGCAGAGGGGTCACGGGTACAGCGGTAGCATCTGCAGCAGCAGCAGACTGATGACAACTTGTCTCTGGAGCAGAGGAGCAGCTCACAGCCATGCCCACACTCATGCGGCCAGTGCACACAGCTGGCAAGGCAGACACACCAAGAAGAGCGCTGCTGCTGCGACCAGGGTTGCCCACACCACTGCACGTGCCGGTTGCGTGCGGGTGGGGAGGAAGAGCAGGAGCAGCGGGTCCGTTAGGAGTTGCAGTGCCATTGCTTGCAGTGCCATAGCAGGCGATGCTGCTATGATGATGATGATGGCTGGCACGCCCATCTAGCTGCTCTTGCTCCTGCACCTGCCCTTGAGACACCACCTTACAACTGCTTAGACTCACGTCTTCCAAGCCTGGGCTGTCCGCTGCTGCTGCTTCGCTATTCAGGACATATCTTGCAAGATCACTGCTGCTGCTGCTGCCAGTGCCAGAGTTGGTGTGATCACCGCAGCAGCGAGAGCAGTTACCGGCACCACTAGGGCAGTCACCAGCCTGCTGCAGAGTTGCTGGAGAATGGCAGGAACACAGCCGGTCATCTCCTCCACGCGAAACATCAGGCTGAGCAGGCTGAGCAAGGTGGGGAATTTGGGCACCACGCTCTGCTGATGCAAATTGCTCATAACTCCCCTTCTGCTTCTGCTGCTGCTGCTGCTGCTGCTGCTGCTGCAGTGGCTGTTGCTGCTGACGCTGTTGCTGCTGCAGTGGCTGTTGCTGCTGACGCTGTTGCTGCTGCCCGTGACTGTGCTCATTTTCCTCCTCCCAATCCACCACGCACACCCCTCCGCCCACCGTCACCTGCGTTGCTGCTGGCTCCTGCCCGCTCTCTGCAGACCACAGGAAGCTCGCATACGCTGCCAGCACAAAACTGCACACGCAAGGGAGAGGACGGGAGGGAGGGAGGGGTGGGGTTGGGGGAGACAGGGGACGGACGAAGGGACCCGCTGGTGAGAATGGGTTGAGGAAGGGCGAGGATGGGCGAAAGTGAGAGGCGAATCGAAAGTGGACAAAACGGCAGTCCCGGTGGGTGTGCTGAAACCAAGGACAGAAACTGCTGTTAGTCTGCATGCAGCAGCCATGAGACAACGGCTCTCTATGCACAGCCAAGGTCTCTGTTGTGTAATCCGCGATTCCCGCCCCCCATTCCCCCAAAACTGCAACCCCACTAACGCCCTGTTTCCCCCACTCTCCCCTGACACAACCCCCTCACCATCCGCCGAATCCACAACCCCTGCAACCTCCCCTAGTTTCCCATTCTCCCTTTTTCTTACCTTTTCCCCCTTTTTTCCCCTGCCCGTTCCCCTGCTCGCACGCACCAGTCATCAGGCGAGAGCTCCACAGCGCGTTCGAACAGCGCCATGGCGCGCTCCGCGTCTCCGCCCGCCTCCCACACCACCTTCGCCCACGCCACCAGCACCTCCGCCTCCCCCGCGCCCCCCTCCGCGCGGCTCGCCACGGCCGCGCGCCGAAACGCCTCCTCCGCGCGCTCGTAGTCCTTGCCCTGCGGGGGGAGAAGACGGGGGAGGGGACGGGGGAGGGGGAAGGGGGAGGAGGGGGGTAGGAGGAGAGGGGAGGGGGGGGGGGGGGGGGGGGTGGAGTGGGGAGAGAGCAGAGGGGAGTGGGGAAGGTCGGTAAGAAACGGATGTGATGAGATGGGAGGGAGGTGGGAGCGGGGAGGCGGAAGAGGGAAAGGAGATGAGAGATCTACGGAGGGGAGAGCAACGGGCGTGAAATCCGAGAAGTATTACGATCCTTGCTCTCCCCAAAAACGCGATGAGTAGTACCAGACGACGGCTACTGCCGCCAAGCCGCCACGCCGTCATGCCAACATCCCTTGCAGCGCATGGCAGCTCAGCGCAGCCAGCTCAGCGCATGGCAGCTCGGCGCAGCGCAGCGGACGTACCTCTGCGAGGAACTGCGCGTAGTTGCCCAGGAAGAGCGACTGCTGCGGATGCTCCATCAACGCCGCACGATAATACTGCTCCATGTCCTCGCGCTCCCGCTCCCGCTCCGCCTCCGCCTGCGCCTGCTCTCGCGCACCCGCGCTCCCCTCCCACACCCGCCCCGCCCCATGCCCGCGCCCGTTTCCCCCACTCCGCGCGCTCCCACCATCGCTTTCCAGCGTCGCGCCGTGCGCTCCATTCACCCCGCTCTGCTCGTCGCCGCGCCGCCTTTCTTGCTGCTGCTGCTGCTGCTGCTGCTGATGATGATGATGATGATGCTGTTCTTGCTGCTGGAATGAAAGGGATTCTTGGTGATAAGGCGGCATCGGTGAGCCGTTAGACGGAATAGGCACACCGTTTGCTTTTCGCCCAGCACCGGCAGCGTTGCATGCGCCATCAGCGGCGTCACCAGCGGTACAAGCAGCGCCAGCCGCGCCACCAGCGACATTCCCGTCCAACGGTCGTGCGCGTATCCCGTTCATGGGCGCCCAGATCGGACGGTCGTCCATCAATATCTCACTCGCGCCATCGTGACCGAGCGCCCTGCCGCCCACGTACTCATCGCCTCCGCCGCTGCTATTACCGCTGCCGCCGCTGTCGAAAGCGGGGAGACCGCTTGTCATGGGCCCTTGCGCGCGCCGACCGACCGCCACCAGCGGGGGAACCACCACAGGCACTCGGAGATTTGGCGCGGAAAGATCGAGGTCCCCGCGGTGTGGGGCGGCGCCGTCACGCGCGACGGGAACGTCAGGCGGAACCCAGGGCGCGCTGGGACTGTGGAACCCGGGGGGGAGAGAACCGCGCAGGTGGTTATCGTCGTCTGCGGAAGCGGAGGCGGAGGCGGAAGAGGTTGCTCCCCCCACGCCGTGCCAAGGATCTTGTGCGACCCCCGCGTGCCCCGTCGAATGCCCCGTCGCGCTCTCTCCCCCCTGGCCATGGTGACGGTAAGCAAATCCATTCGCTCTGACATCACCCCCGTTCGCTCTGCCCATCGCCGTCATTTCCCCCCTTCCTCCCGCCTCCACCTCCAACCCGCGCACCCCCTCTCCGCCAGCTACCGCGCCCGCCTCGCCGCCAACTTCCCCGCGCCCCACGCCGTCCATCGGCCAGCGCGGCACGGATTTTGGGCGGCCGTTCCAGTCGCGGAAGCGGTCGTTAAGAAGCACGGGGCGGCAGCCGCGCGAGTTACACACAACAGGCATACCGTTCGACCCTACGTCCACACTCGTGAAACCCTCGCCCCGGTCCGACATGAACAAATACTGCCCCGGCCCTTTGCCCTTCATCACCCGCCCCGCGCATACCTGCCCGTGCCCCTGCCCATACCCGTGCTCCTGCCCGTGCCCCTGTCCGTATCCCCTATTGCCGCTCGCGTATGTTGTTTCTTCCGTCTCGCTGTCTGCCGTGTGAAAGCGAGGCTGTGAGTGTTGACTCGATTCCTTATTCGACATCCTTCCACGGATCGGGCTTCCCCTCGCACCTGTCGCGGTACCACCACAGCCCGCCAGCGCTTGATTCCCCGTCGCTCGACCGACACCCGAATCTCCGTCGACACCTCTCGCTCCCCCTACCCCTAACTCGGCTGCGCCGTCTCGCTCACACAAGTCGAGCTGCCACCCCGAGCCGCTGAAATCCGGGCACACTCTTGTTCGCTGGCTTATTGCGTAACTGGGCCCCAGCAAATCCAGGCCGTTGACTTTCCACGGATCGTGCAGAACGTCCAGATAGTCGTTCGATGCAGCAACTGTGAGAGATGAAACTCGAGAAGCGACGGTTGCGGTGAAAACCGACGATCCTCCAAAAGATGACGATGACGATGACGATGACGATGACGATGACGACGGTGATGGTGATGATCTCGATACGGCACGTGCGGACACCGTTGCAGTCGACGCTGCCGGCATGCGGTGACGTGAACTTAAACTCCTCTTAGATAGGGGCCCGTCTGTTCCGGAACTGCTACGGCTGGCGCGAGCGACTTGGCTTTGACTCTGAACCTGACCCTGACCCTTCTGTGACCACCACCATGGCTCCTGTCGCATGAGCTCTGCTCCCCCGCGCTGCCGTCGAACCCCGCGAGACGGTTTTGCTCGTGTGCCATACGCCGCTCTCGGTGCGGTGCCGTTGCTTGATACAGCTGGCCTTGGGAGCGGCGGGGATGAGGAGAGGGACTGGCGCAACGGCCCGAGAGGCGAGAGGGACGTAGCAGCAGCGAACGATGCGGTTAAGGAGAGAGTCAGGTCCGGTTCTGAAGCGACCCGGCGTAACCGGAAGCTTTTGTTAAGCTCCGAGTGGACGTCTCGTGGGGAGATGTCAACGTGTAAGCGAATGGAGGAGAATGATCGAGACATGAGGACGATTGGTCTTGAGACCAAGACAGCACGGTTTGCTTGCTCTGCTCCACGAAACCCTCGCTGTGGCTTGGAAAGGGAGTTACAGGTAGAGAGGGAGATGGTTGACTGCCAAATGTTTGCACAACAAGGGAACCAAGGCCTCCTAAGTAGTACTCATGTTGTCGATGAAACCATGCAGGCCAGTTAGCAAGTAATAGCAGCCGACAAAACTCGACTAACAACAGTGGTGGCTACAAAAAATCGTCAGAATGACTGGAGAAGCTGACCGAGAACCAACGGGGGATGAAGCTGGAATCAGTAACTGCGAAGGTGGCTGGAAAAAAAATCCTCCAGGGGTTTAGGCAAGAGAGCTAGCTTCTGGTGCTGTTGCACACAGCATGGAGGTAGGTCGTTGGGTTGGGGGAGAGATGGGATGGAATCATGGGAGGGAATGCCAAGGAATGGATGGGGCGGAGGAGAGATAAGGGAGGGGAGGGCCGATCAGGGAGGATGTGAGGCGGAAAACATTTTTCCCCAGTTGCATTGAGCGGGGTTGAGAGGATTTGAGCAGAGAAAGGATGCGTGTAGGTGAGAGACGGTATGCGCTGTTTCGGACGTTTTCAGAACGGTTTTGTCTGGTTGTAGATGTTGGGGTGGATGGTAGGGAGTAAAAAGGGGGGAAGCTGAAAGATCAACCTAGGCGGGAGGAGGGATCCAGGTTTCTCGATCGTTGTGTGGCTGTGATGAGCCGCGAGATTGGGCGCGCAACAGTGCTGCAGAGATTTGGGAAGATACCATGGCGATGGAGCAGTGCATGTGTGGTGAGAACAACGGTGAATTGGCGGTGACGTGACATATAATTAAACCCAATAGGAACGCAGATTTGGCTGCGGAGCGAGGGGGAAAGGGTTTGTGAAATGAAGATATGAAGCTGCTTGTAAGGAATTTCACAATCCTTACCTGGCAGCACTGCTCGAGTACGCGATTTTGCCAACTCGTTATAAATGACTCACTGCCATAGGCTAACCCCCTCAGCGTAAATGGTTAGCTTTAGCTGTATATTTCCCTGTATATAATGTTCTACATTCACTATGATAAGGTCACAGAACTACTTTCGCTTTCTTAGGGACTCGTATATTACTCCCACCATATTTGGGCTATCTCCACACATATATTGGATTAAATGACGCCAAATGACATTTTACAGCATGCCCTAATCAGGGTTCGGTATGTGTGGTTTGAGGATTATAATATGATTGATTCTGTGGTTGAAGGGAGAAAGGCATACGGTAATGTTACGAGTGCAATTGAGTGAACGAACGAGAATTGCACTATCGAAGCAAGAGTACAATGAGCGAAGGCATGAGCGAAGTATTTATAGCGAAACTACAGTGGTAACGGTAATGGACTATGGTTGTCGCGCGACGGGTCTAGGACTGAGGTTGGGAAAAGTGTCGAAGCGGAGGCCAGGAGCGCGGGTTACCCGCCGAGCCGTGAAGTCGGGTGCGACGTGCGAAGGTGGCGGGCGGATTGTCGATACGACAGTTGCGAGTGGTAACGGTGCTGACTGTGGTGCTACAGTGATGTACGCGTTGAGGAGGGATGCGAAGTAAGGAAAAAGAGATTTTCCTTACACTACCCTCCCCCCTAAGGAGGTCCTCCTTACGAAAGTGCGTGAACATCCCTGAAATTTCGGCTGCGCAGATACTCGGTGAGGACGGGGTGGTTTTCGATTCTGTCTAGAGGAACCCAATTGTCTTTGGTGGGTGTACGGTCCTTCAAGCGGAGTAAGAACTCGATCCTTCGGGCTCCTCAAGGGTCGCGAACTCTGTGACTCGGGATTTTCTCGGGGGTGATGATTGGTTCAGTTGGTGGTCTTGTCATGCTGGCTGGGCGATTGCGTGGCAGTTGGCTCGTGGACGGGACGTAAGGGCGAAGCAGGCTGACGTGGAATGAGGGGTTGACGTACCAGTCAGCAGGGAGGAGGAGGTGGGCGGTGACGGGTGTAAGCATGTGGCTTATGCGAAATGGCGTAGCCGCTCCCCTCCCTACGCGGCCCCGTAGCCGCCCCTACGCGGCCCCGTCGCCGCCCCTAGCGGCCCCGTCGCCGCTAACCTCCCTACGCGGCCCCGTTGCCGCCCCTACGCGGCCCCGTCGCCGCCCCTACGCGGCCCCGTCGCCGCCCCTAGCGGCCCCGTAGCCGCTCCCCTCCCTACGCGGCCCCATCGCCGCCCCTATGCGGCCCCGTCGCCGCCCCTACGCGGCCCCGTCGCCGCCCCTAGCGGCCTCGTCGCCGCTGACATCCCTACGCGGCCCCGTTGCCGCCCCTACACGGCGTCGTCGCCGCCCCTACGCGGCCCCGTCGCCGCTCCTAGCGGCCCCGTCGCCGCTCCCCTCCCTACGCGGCCCCGTCCCCGCCCCTACGCGGCCTCGTAGCCGCCCCAACGCGGCCACGTCGCCGCCCCTAGCGGCCACGTCGCCGCTCCCCTCCCTACGCGGCCCCGTCGCCGCCCCTACCCGGCCCCGTCGCCGCCCCTAGCGAGCAGCTGAGCCGCCGAGCCGCCCAGCAGAAGCAGCCGCCCCTGGAGCAGCCGCCACTGCAGTAGCCGCCCCTGGAGCAGCCGCCACTGCAGCAGCCGCCCCTAGAGCAGCCGCCACTGCAGCAGCCGCCCCTGGAGCAGCCGCTACTGCAGCAGCCGCCCCTGGAGCAGCCGCCACTGCAGCAGCCGCCCCTCGAGCAGAAGCCACTGCAGCAGCCGCCCCTGGAGCAGCCGCCTCTGCAGCAGCCGCCCCTGGAGCAGCCGCCCCTGGAGCAGCCGCCACTGCAGCAGCCGCCCCTGGAGCAGCCGCCACTGCAGCAGCCGCCCCTGGAGCAGCCGCCACTGCAGCAGCCGCCCCTGGAGCAGCCACCCCTGCAGCTGCCGCGGAGCTCTCGCTCTACAGTGGTAGTGGCATCCCCGTTGCCGCCGTCGTACGCTTGCCCTTCTCGCCACTGGTGAGCACTGCCCTGCCCATACTGCTGTTACTGCTGCTCTTACTACTGCTGCTCTTTCTACTGCTACTGCTGCTCCTGGCGTGGCCAGATGCAGCTCCAGCGTTGCCCGCGTGAGTCCCTCACCCCCCAACAGCTTCATGAGTGGTACGCTAGTTGGGGTTGTCGGGGTGGCCGTAGTGGGAGTCGTCCTGGAGTGAGTAGTTCCGCAGCTGCTTGTAGTGGCAGGATGCAGCTCCAACGTCCCCCGCGTGAGTCCCTCACCCCCCAACAGCTTCGTGAGTGGTACACCAGTTGGGGTTGTCGGGGTGGTAGTAGTGGGAGTCGTCCTGGAGTGGGTAGTTAAGGAATTTCTTGTAGTGGCCCGGTGCAGCAGCAGCGTTCTCCGCGCGAGACTCTTTCACCCCAGAAGCTTCATGAGTGGTACGCTCAGAGTGGAGGGTCGCTGAGTAGTGCTCGCTGCTCGTACGTTATTAGCACGGGTGTCCGGACTGGTCAGACTTGCAGGACGCGTTGTCACACAGAGTCCCGCTGCTTCGCGCGTCTGAGCGACGCTTGGCGTACAGAGTTTGGCGACGACGCTGAGCTCCCCGACTGGGTGGAGCTACTTAGGCAGAGGGTAGATATCTTTGCTCTTGACTATGATGCTATTCTCACTGCAATGTATGCATTGTCTACTAGTGCCGAGGGAGTCTGTCACCTGTGTGTGCCGCCTGCCCCCAGTATCCAGTCTGCTGCTCTAGGTGCTGGTGAGGCTGCTGCTCTAGGTGCTAGTGCGTCTGCTGCCCCAGGTGCTGGTGAGTCTGCTCTCTCAGGTACCACGTCGGCTCAGGCCTTACACATCTTCACCCTTGACTCGGGTGCTTCCTGCTCCTTCTTTCGAGACCGCACCACGCTTACGCCGCTTAGTCGGCCGGTTGCGGTCTCC